TTTTATCCATCCAGAAATAACCAGTTTTAGAACAACTTTCTTTCAAAGAATATGTATATATTTCCATATCTTATATCTTCTTTCATCAAAATCATATAATTTTTTTCTAACTTAATCTGAACTTTTTTTTTTTTTTATCCTCACCCGAGGATACTTTTTCCATTTTTTGTACAGATAGAGTGGGAGGGAGAAAGAGGAAGGGAGAGAGAGAGAGAGAAACATCGATGTGAAAGGGACACATCGAGTGGCTGCCACCCGCACGACCAACCAGGGCCGGGGACAAACTGCAACCGAAGTACGTGCCCTTAGCGGGAACCAAACCCGGGTCTCTCCAGACCACAGTCCGACGCTCTAACCGCTGAGCCAAACTGGCCAGGGCAATCTGAACTTTTAACTCTTAGAAATGTTTATTATTTTTTCTTCTTTTGACAAGTACAAGTAATTAACATTTCTCAGATTGGCAAATATATTTATATTTTCAATAGACATTTTTTGAATCAATAGATCATCAATAGATCCAAATCTATCCTCTAGCTTTTCTGTAATAAGAACCCAAAGTAGGCAAACTCAGGTTAATTAACATTTTAGTATATCCTCGGGGGGGTCCTGAAGGACGGGGTGTAATTTCTTTGGGGGCGGGGAGGAGTTACTGTTCTTCAGGGCAGGCTGAGGCAGTTAACAAAACTGTTTTTCCTTTCTTTTGAACCTCTGGACATTGACATTTTTTAATATAATTGGGTTTGTCTGTAGGTTTACCAATCCAAATATCGATATATGGCATTTGATGCGGGTTTCCAGGGTTCCTGCATATTTTCTGACGAACCATAAAAGCCGATTACAAATTGAAACTACTTTCAGGTGGCCAATTAACGCCGTAGGCAGGCCATTCAAGTTCACAGAGGGTCTGTAAGGTCCCAGAGTTTACCGAGACACTATAGCTTCTTGCCCGAGTTTTGAAATCTTTAAAATTATCCAATAGGCCTTGTAATGGAGTTTTTGTAGCAGATTGGCTTTGGCCCATGACAACAAAGGAAGATGCAATCGGACAACAGACAATCCGCAGGGCCAATAAACAGACAGAAAAACAATACAGACAGGGCTGAAACTGAAGGTCAACCAAAAAACACAGACAGAACTGACTGAAACCGAAGTTACTGAAACCAAAACAGAACTGACGATTGAAGTTCCAGAACCGACTGAAGACTGAAGTTAACTGACTGAAATTAACCGACTGAAGTTAACCAAAGTTAACCGACTGAAGTTCCTGCGACGTCTCGCCAAGGAACCTGGCTGGGGAGTGATGCGCGTCCAGCCTTCCCCCTTGCCACTGAAGAGTGCCCAACAGAACAGAAAGCAGTCCTCACCGGCGAGATTCCAGATGACTCAGATGAGTCCAGACGCTCTCTCAGAATTCAATTTAGAGCAGGATGTGAGACCGGGCTAGGGAAACTGGGAGGGCTTAGTCTCCAGGCAGAGGAAACATCCCTCCGAGGCCTTCTCCAGACCAGCCCCCCTTGCAGTTTGGATAGCCGGTCTAGTGGTCCGGTCCGAGGCCTCCCTGTAAGGGAAGGATCTCGGGGGGACCTCCAAATGTTGTGGCACGAGAGAACTGAGAGACCACCAGAGCCAAATGAAAGCCAAATAGAGAGAAAACCTGGCCGGCGACTGATCCCCAGTTCTCAGAGACCAGCCCCGACTTTCAGCTGATTTTTTATTTTATAGGGGGTTTGTTACAAACTTCTGCAGCTGGTATTTCTTGTTGGCCTTGGGGAGAGCGAGCAAGGACAGAAGCGGAGGCAGTTATCGATAAGCAGTAAGCGGGAGGGAACGGAGGTGGGAGGGAGCTGAGGTGAAAGGGACCTGGGTGAACTGGGTCAGCTCACATCTATCCTGCTATTCGTTTTATTTTCTAAATTCTAAAAACTAACATATTCGCTTAGAGGACAAATTCATTTAGGAGTACCACCCAGCGGGTACTTCCTCAGTTTGCCTCTGAAAGCTTCATAGTTGGCCTTTGGTTTATTTAATCAGGACAAAGTGATAGGTACAGTCCAAGGATGGCAATCTAAAAGGACGTGGTCCCTGGAGCTGCTAGAACCTTCGCATGGCCACACAGGGAACAACTGAAAATGGAGTCAACAGAGAAGGAGAGCTGAAGAGAAACTAGAAGTTGGTGCTATATTTAGGCCTCTGACTCCAGCCATACCTGACCGTTTCCAAACTTCTCAGCAACAACGGCACCTATACTTTTCTTATCAGGGTTACCTTTTGAGGCTAGGGACCCCAGAATAAGAAGGTTTTAAAAGTTAAGTCCAGCCCTGGCCGGTTTGGCTCAGTGGTTAGAGCATCGGCCTGCGGACCAGAGAGTCCCAGGGTCAGTTCCTGCTAAGGGCACATATCTCATTTTGTCCGAGCCTCAGCTAGGGTCGTGCGGGTGCCAACCAATCAATGTGTCTCTCTCACATCAATGTTTCTCTCTCTCTCTCCCTCCCTTTCTCCCTCCTGCTCTAAAGATAAATGCAAATATATCCTCGGGTGAGGATGAAAAAAAAACAAAGAATAGGGCATTACAGACCTGGCCAGATAGCTCAGTTGGTTAGAGCATCGTCCCCCATCGGCCGAGGTTGTGGATTCGACCCTCAGTCAGGGCACATACAAGAATCAACCAATTAAAAAAGAAGAAAATGAATCAATCAATGAATGCAAAAATAAGTGGAAGAAATTGATGGTTTTCTCTCTTTAAAAATCAATATCTAAACATTTAATAAAGACATTACATGTGTCACTGAGTCTCCTTCCTGATTCCTTCCCAACATCCCCCCCCCGCCTGCCGGGGCGCCACTCCTGGATTTGGGATTCCTCACTCCTTTGCCTCCTTTGCTTACCTCCTTACATGTGTATCCCCGTACAATATATATCCTTTTCCTTTTCTTTTTTACCTTTATATAAATAACTTTGTTTTAATATATATAATTTTATTTTTTTATTATTATTTTTTAATCATCCTCATCCGAGGACACTTTTCCACCCCTTGTCCAGGTAGAGTGGGATTGAGAGAGAGGAACAGAGAGAAACATCGACGTGAAAGGGACACATCGAGTGGCTGCCACCCGCACGACCAACCAGGGCCGGGGACAAACTGCAACCAAGGTACGTGCCCTTAGCGGGAACCGAACCCGGGTCTCTCAGGACCGCAGGCCGACGCTCCAACAGCTGAGCCAAACCGGCCAGGGTAATATATATATAATTTTATTGGCGCCCTGGCTGAGAATCAAACCGGCCTATTGGTGCACAGGACGATGCTCCGGCAACTGAGCCACACCGGCCAGGGCAACAAATAAATCAAGTTGTTCTCCTTCCCTCGCTCCGCATTCTGTTGGTGGTATTTATCTGAGGCAATAGGTGCTGGTCCTGTTCATTTGTTTGCCTGCTGGTGAGTGGCCCCGTGCGTGTCCATTCTCCTGGTGACCACTGTCTATTGTTTCCTGCCATCACAGGGCTGCCCTGAGCCGCCCCCTCAGCCCATGAGCCCCTTTGTCAGGTTTCCACCCAGGAACTTGCCGGTGAAGGGACACACCGTCTTCAGCTTAACTGACACCACTAGTTTGTTCAAGGTGGTTGTGCCAACATACGTTGTTGCCAAACTGTTTCTGTCCCTCAAGCCCAGCACAAAGGTGCCTCTGCCCATTTCTATCTCCCCAAATAAAATGATTTAACTCCACCTGTTGATGTCCAGCCAGTCCAACCGCCCCCCCAGATCTCCCTCACTTCTCCAGCTGGGCCTGTTCCGAGTGTCCCCATTTGGGGCAGCCGACATTGCACAACACCTAGAGCAGGACGCTGGCCCGACAGCAGTGACTAAAGCCCGACAGCCACAGAGCTGATCCCAGGTTTGCCACTTGGGCTGTGTGCCTTTGGGCAAATCACTTCTCTTCTCTGAGCCTGTTTCCTCACCTGTGAAATGGGGGTACCTGCAGTAACACCCACAGGGGAGTGCCGATGCTCAAACAAGCACGAAAATGCAGCAGGTGCACAAGGGAGACGCTGTTACTGTCACCCGTGGAGCCCACAGAGGAGCAGCACCTTATCACTCAGGACTACTCTGCTTGTAGGCAACAGAAACCCCAGTCAAGCGATGGGAGAAACTGGTCATTTATTGGCCCGTGTAACTGGGAAGTCGGAGGGGAAGTCTTGCTTCAGGTGTGGCGGAATCCAGGGGTTCTGACCAGGAAGCTGGCCCTGTCCACCTCTCCTCCACGTTGGCATCATTCTCGGGCAGGCTCTCCAAGGGGCTCCAGGACTACATCCCTCCAGCTTGACAACTTCCAGGAACAAAAAGCTTCTCCTTCCAGACACATCCTGCCCAAGTCCCAAGCCGGTCCTCGCTGGCCCAGGCTAGGTCACTTGCCCCCCGGGGGCCAATTACAGGGTAACCCTGCTACTCAAAGTATGGTCCTTGGAACAGCAGCATCAGACCCACCTGGGGCTCCCTGGCGATGCAGAGCTCGGGCCCTGCCCACTGACTCAGCATCTGCACCCGGCAGAACCCCCGCCAGCCGCCAGCCGTGCCCTGCGCGTTCACTCTCCAGTTGCTTAGACAATTTTTAAGTTATGTTTTATTGAGAACCATAGAAGGTAAAAACTATGAAAGCCCTTCAAAGTCATCAAGTCCTCCCCCTTCTTTTAAAGATGGAGAAGCTGGGGGCCAGCAGGGACGGGTCCTGCCCTAGACACCCCCAGTGCCTGCCCACGCCCCGCCTTCCCATCCGCACAGCCTTCGCCGTGTGGACTATCTGCTAGGAAGGGTGCCTGGGCCCGGAAGTGCCAGGATGGGCCAGACTCGCCTCGCTCAGAACGCAACGTGTCCTAGCTGTCACCATCACTCACGCAGCCCCTGGCCGGGACCCGAAGGAGCACGGAGGCCCTGTGGAGGACGGAGACCCACAGTACACGCGCAGGCCTCAGGCACAGCCCACCCGCACCCTGACTCCAACCCACTGGGCCCCAAAAACCAAGAGCACTATAGACCACACCAGCCTTTATTCTATTGCAGAGCAGGACTGGGGTCAACACACTTTATTCTCAGGCTGTGTCAGAAGGTGCAGTGTTGGGGGCACCCAGACTGGACCCCAAAGTGACAATAAATTAGGGGGAAATTCTCAGGCTGTTGTTGGGCTGGAGCCAGGGTGGGGTGCCAAGTGGCTCCCCCAGAGCCACGGCCAGCTGCCCAGCTCAGCCCTCGAGGAAGGCAGCTTCCAGGGACAGGCACGCCTCATGCTGAAACACAGAGGGCAGGCAGAGAGGCAGGGCTGGGGGGTAAAGGCGAGGGTTATAAGAGGGGTCCCCAGAGTCAAGGAGGATAGGGCCAAGGCGGGTGGGGCAGGGTCTTTGAGGGAGGGGCTCCCCGCAGGCCCTGGATGGGGCTGGGCAGGGCTCTCACCAGCCAGTCAGTGAAGCTCCTATAGATTCTCATAATCTGGGGCGCCCTCTTCCTCCTCTTCCTCTGTCTCCTGGGAACTCAAGGTGGCTGCAGGGGGAAGAGAGGCTGATCTTCAGCTTGCACACTGCCCCCCATCCAGGGAGCTCCCCAGCTCCTGCCCCTCCCCCAGCACACACCAGGCTCAGTCCTAGCAGTGGGCTGCAGCTCCTCGGACACGTTCACATATTCCCGGCTGCCATCTGCGGGGACAGGTCAGGAGGAGGGACAGTCCACCCTGAGGGTGTGGGAGCAAGGACACCCAGACAGGGCCACAGCAGGGGTGTGGCCACAGCCACACTGAGCGTGGGGGGGGCGGTGGAAGGAGGGGAAGGGAGGGAAGGTAGACCCTAAGGGGGCGCGAGGGGCACCGGTCACTCACCCAGAGACGCGTCCGCACTCTCCTCACTTTCAGGAACGTTCACGTAATCTTCCCTCGACTCCACTACGGAAAACCACCAGAGCCCCCGGAACTGTCACCAGAGCCCTCGGGCACGTTCCCAGAGCCCCTGAGCAGTTCCCAACCACAGCCACCAAAGACTTTCAACAAAGCCAGCCCAAAACTTCTGCAGAGAGACCCAGAGACCTTCCCCACAGTCGGCCCGAGGGACGCAGAGGGTGCTCTGCACCAGCCATGTCCGTGGCCTGAAAGAGGGCAAAATCCACGGCAGTGAGGGGAACAGGGCAATCTGACCAGAACTGATTACAGCACACGCAACAGTGGAAGAAAGGACAGACAGCAGACACGAGCAGCGCCCCCGCGTTGGGGGTGGAGATGGCGAGCAGCTCAGAGCCGTGGGGCTAGGTGGCATGTGTGGAGGGCGAGACCGCACGCAGGCCTGGGCCCAGTCAGAGGTACCATCGGCCCAGCTGGCCCCTCCTCTTCAGCCAGACCTGCCCTGACCCCCACTGTTGTCTTAGTCCCTTGTAGCACACAAATTGTCAAGATATTATCTTGTTCTTTTATGTGTTGACTTGGTTCCCTATGAAGATGTGGACAAGACAGGCTTTGGAGCCAGACTGCCCAGTTTCAAATCCAGCTTCAGCACTAACCATGTGATCTCAGACAAGCTACCCAAGCTCTCTGGGCCTCAGTTTTCTCATCTGTAAAGTAGGATGAGTAACTACCCATCTCATGGGGTTGCTGTGAGGACTAAAGCGGTGAGTATTAAGTTTAAGTATTAAGCAGTAAGTGCTACCAAGCAAGCCTCTGTTAAATAAATAAACCCTGCCGTCAGACAGACGGGATAACTGAGGTACGGGAGGGAAGGGACAGGCTCAACAGCACCTGGGAAATGTGAGGTTAACAAACTAATATAGGTGACACTCTTAGCAGGGCACAGTAGGTCCTCAGTAATGTTAGCTCTTTTACCATGATTCTACCTTGTTAGCTGCTATATCAGAAACACCCAGTAAATATCACAAATGAATAAGTGAATGAATGAAAAGAAGCACTTTGACAGATGGTCTGGAAGCTCAGGAGAGAGGTGACGAGTCGGGGATCTGGAATAGCAAATGAAGCCAGCGTATAGCAGAGATGGCCCAGAGCAGTATATAGACAAAGAACAGTAACAGAACACTGAGGATTATAAGGCACTGAGGAGAGCACCTAACAGACAGGGGGTGACCAAAGCAAAGGGAGAAAAGCAGTGTAAGGAAACTGAGACAATGCAGGGAGCAGAAGAAAAATTCCAAAAGAACAAAGACCCCAAAAAACAAAGACAACCTATAATCAATATCCTTTGAGATTTACAAGATCATATTGACCCCGTGAAACAAGAACAGGAAGCTATGAAAAAGGAACATTCAGGAACCAAGAAAGGGCTTTCAGAAAAGAGAGACAAAATAAAAGAACAGAGTCAAGGAACTGAGCCAAAAAAGAATAAAGTCAAGGAAATCTTGCAGACAATAAAAGAAGACAAAGAGATAGGACAGAGGAGAGAAACAGTGAGAAAATCAGAAGACTGGAGCAGGAGGTCCGCTATCTGAAGGACAGAGTTCTAGAAAAAGATGAGAGAAAACCGAGAGAGAGCAAGCATCAGAGACCCGAGAGGTGAGAGAAGAGCAGGGGGCAGTAGCAGAGAGGCTGGAGTGGTCAGAAAGAGGACTCACGGGAGAAGGCGCTGTCTCGGAGGCCAGGTTTGCTGGGCACAGCAGCTGCTGGGACGGCAGTGCAGGTGGCCGGGACAGTGTCAGGAAGCACCACCCTGAGGGAAAGTCAAGGGACAGGTGAGTGTGGACCACAGCCTCAGCCCCTTCCTCCCACCTGGCCACTCACAAGTAGCCCTCGTTGTGACAGTCCTCATCCTCGTCTTCATCCTCGTCTTCACAGGCTGGCTCTAGGGTAATGACATGGGTCAGCATAGCCCAGGTTAGGCCCCAGCCTCCCTCAACCAGGGCACCGGGGTCCCAGACACACCCTCATTTTCATAGCTTGCCACACTGTTGGCTAGAGAGAAAGAGCGAGAGGGAGACTGAGTCAGGTAAGATGGGGCACATCCTCTGCCAGCCCGAGCCCCAGCCCCATGCGTCCTGCTCCAGCTTACTGCCGTCTGAGTCCTGCCGAGAGGATGGCATTCGGTGGGAGCCCCCTGGGGGCTGTGGGGATCTCCTGAGAGTCAAAGGTCAAAGGTCATGTTCAGGATAGGGCTCTGGGGCAAGAGGGGTTACAACAAGGGAAGAAGCCCCCAATCCAAAGAGGTGAGGGATGGAGAGGGGGGCTTGGAGGGAAAGGGGTTACTTACGGGATAGGGAGCAGGTCTGGCTGGCTCAAGGGTGGATAGGAGGTAACAGGCGAGTAGGAAATACCCTGTGGCCAGGGGGCTAGTGTGGCTGAGGACACAGGACCAAGCTGAAGGAATGACTCCAGACACAGTGCCCCTACCCTCATCAAGGCCTCGGAGGGTGGACTAACTCCCTAAAGCCCCTGTGCCCTGGACAGGCCTGAGGGCACCCACATCCTTCCCCATCTCGGCTCAGGCCAAGGCCATGTGAGCAGCCACAGGAGGCAACCTGAACAAAGGCCCACACTTGCTCACATGCCGGGGCCTCACTTCCCTACCCCCGAGGGAGAGGACCCTCCATGTACTCACGGGGCCGTTTGATCACGATGCTACTTGGCAAACTGGCAGGAGAGACACAGCTTGGTAAGAGACCAGGTGAGGCCCCAGGACCAGCCCGGCACAGGGCATTGAGGGAGCCACACCAGCCAAGCCCAGGTGGGCAGACTCACCTATCGGAGGCAGCACTGTCTGCGGAAGAGAAGGCCAGTGAGGCAGGAAAAGGGGGTGGCGAGGGGAAAGGGTAAGGGAGTCAGGGGCTCTCAGCGGTCTGCATACAGGACAGAGTTGGAGCCAGTTAGGTGAAGTGAGGGATTGGGGAGTGGGCTTGGATCCCTGTGTCAGCTCCCACTCACCTGGCAGCTCTCGGCAGCGCACACATAGTGCCATCAGCAACACGGCCAAGAGGGGCAGCAGCAGGAGGCCCAGCACCAAGGGGAGCGGGATGGCCAGCTCCATCTGCCTGACAGCGCTTGGACCAGGCCCGGCTGCTCGCTGTCCACCCCCCAGGACAGAGCTGCAGCAGAGCAGGGGCCCAGCAGCACCAGGCTAGGACCCTGGTGTTGTGGGGGAGGGGAGGCAGCCGCACCCTCCTGGAGGGCTCCCTGGATCCCTTTCCCTCCTTGGGCTGATTGGGGGTCAGCCTGGCTTTGGAAGACCCTTGATCCCAGGGCAGTCAGACCAGGGCCTGGGCTGGAGTCTGGGGCACCAGCTGCCTCTGCATGGACCCTGCACCCAGGCCTACCTGCCCCTCGGCCTGGCGCCCGCCTCTCCTCAGTGCCCGCCCTCCCGCCTGAGGCAGGAAGCTGTGGTGAGCACGGGGTGAGGGCAGGAAATCATCAGGCTCCACAGCCGGCTGCACCCACCTCCTTCCCACCCCCACCCCGCCAGTGGGGAGGGGAGGAGAAGGCCTCAGGAGCCACCCCAAGGTCTTCAAGAAGAGTCTACTTGTCTCCAGGACAAGGGGCAACTCATACGAGTGGGAAAAGGACAAGACAACTGCAGGCCCGCCAGCAGGGTAGCCTCCACCGCCGTGGGCAAGGAGGGAGGCTGACACGGGAACGCACAGGGGCACAGGGCCCACCCTCACCTCACCCTAGTTGGCCTTCCAAGAGGGGCGGGCTCGAGGGGAAACAGGGGCGGGGCGTGACTCATAGTCACACAGAGCCAGCTCACTCCACCCTCTTCACCGATCCCTAGAAGCCCCACAGGAGTGACCCAACAGCCACCAGAAACACATCCCCTAAATTCCAGAGGTCAGTGGTCAATAGCACCCAGAAACTCAAGCAGGCAGTTGGAATCTGGCTACAAATTTTATTTAGTACAAATAGCACCGAGCCCCTGGGGCTGCTCCAGTGGAGGGGGATCCCCTCCTGGACCCCCACCGCCCGCCCTTGGCTGCCCCTGTAGTGTGGAAGCTGGAACATGGCCCAAGGCTCCTCTGAGAAGTGGGCCAGACCGTGGGTTTGGGCCCAGCAGCCTGCTGGGGTGGGTCGGAGACCAGCTGTGTAGGTGCGCAGGTAGGTGAGCATCGGCCCTTCAGATGAGCACACTGGACACAGGGACCCGGGTGGAGCGGCCTCTCTGGGGCACCACAATACGGTCATCTTCGGGCCCTGCCTCATGCAACAGACCTGGGGGGAGGGGTCGGAGCCAGGGTTGGATGGGCAGATAAGACACAAAGCCTGGGAGGGGACAAAAAGGCAGTAGGAAATGGATGGGGCCCAGAGCTGGGGACACAGTGGGACATCAGCCTGTTGGCCAGGCAAACCTGAAGCCGGATGCAAGGAGAGCTGTGGACTGACAGACGCTAGGTACACAGGACTAGACAGACGGATGAACGAACAAGCAGGCAGCGTCATGAAGCTGGGCAAGGAGCTGCACGCGGACGGAGGGAAGGCCCAACTGACCCTGCACGTGCAGCTGGGCCCAGCGGCGGTCACCCTCAATGAAGATGGCGGTGCCCAGGAAGGCCGCACCGCCCAGAGCTCCCACAAAGGCGCAGAGCATGAGCGAGAACTGCAGGGCCCGGAACTCGGACAAGAAGGAGGGGGGCCAGTTCCGGCGGAGGCGGTCAGAGATCTGTGGGGAGACGAGGAAAGAAAAGCAGGAGAAAGCATCTTGGAGAGGGCACGAGGGAGAGGGTACCCCACATTCTAGAAGAACTGGAGCCAAGACAGGAAGGGTGTCTGGACCTCCACGGAGAGTCTACGACTCATATGGAAACTTGCAGACAAAATCCTTCCCGTCTAGCTGAGCATCCAAGGTGAGGGGTGCCTGGCACAGACCACACGGAAGACTAGTTGGGGCCACTCCTTCCAATTCAGTCCAGGCTCAGGCCACTGGCCACCAAACAGTGTTAGAAACGCAGAGTGCCCAACCCCACCCCAGGCCCAGCAAGAGGGCAGTGCTCACCAGGCCAATGAGGTAGGGGCTCCCGGCGTCACCCAGCAGGTGGGCCAGCACGATCTGGAAGGCCTCAGCAGTGGAGCGCCTAGTAGGGATCACCACGTACTGTGGGGAGGAGGGGCAGGAGACAGGGGGCAAAGATGGGGCCAAGGCTCAGGCCAGGCTGAGGTCAGAGTTGAACCCCAGCTCAGAGGTGTGACTGGGGTATAGGGTAGAGTAAGCCAGACTATAGGTCCATCTGGGGCTGGGCGCTGAAGTCAGTCTAGGGCTGGGCTTTGAAGAAGGAGTAAAGGCTACAGTTCAAGGCAAATCAGGCCTCCCATACCCACTCCCTGCTCCCAGCAGCCTCTGGACCAACCCTGGAGTGGCCCACCTACTCACCAACAGAATATCAGCCACAATGGCCCAGTTCATAGACAACAGTGTCTCCCCAATAAAGATGAAAACCTGGAGAACCAAGGGGTTGGGGGGAACAGGGTTGATCTCATCACCAGAGCAAACACATAGAGGCCCATCCATGAACTCATTTAGTCCTCACAACACCCCTATGAAACAGGAGCTATTATTATTCCCTTTTTATAGATGGTGAAACAGCACAGAGAGAGATTAAGTCACTTACCCAATGCCACACAGTCAGGAAGGGCAAGACCTGAGATTCAAAACCAGGACTTTCCACTCCAGAGTTGGCTCTGAACTACTATGCTGGTTGACCCCAGTCCTGCCCCAGTGTACCGTTCCTCACCCTGGACCCAAACCAGCCCTCCTTGATACCTGCTGGCTACTCACATAAGTGGCCACGATGCTACCACGGGCACAAGCCACGGACAGGAAGAGGAAGGGTGCAGAGCCCAGGAGCCCAGCAGCACAGACCAGCGGGTCAGCCCGGGGATTGGAGCGGCGAAGGCGGCGGCTGATCTCCACACCCAGGCCCACACCCAGGACCCCAGTCAGGCAGGTGATGAGCCCAAAAATGAGGCTGGGGACAGGGAGAGGGGTTGGGGACTAGTCTGTCCCCCTGCATAGGCCCCTAGCCTCTGCCCTATGGCCTGGAGAGGAATATGGTCCATCCCAGCTACCCTCACAACCCAGGTCTATCCAGGCTCAGCAGCCCATGGTTCACAAAGTTCCCATCACCTACTTCCCAGATCAGGAAACTGGAACTCTGGGAGAGGAAAACGGCCTGTGGAGTTGGGGCTCAAACTCTCTGTCTGAGTCTGAATCATACTTCTCACTCCATCCCCTGCCACCTGCAGGCCATCCATCCCAGCCCCCATCTGGGTACCTGTCAGAAGAAGAGCAAGAGTCTCCAGGAAGACAGGGTGGGGTCTCTCCCAAGACCACACGGGAACGCAGCAAGAATGCAGGAGCCCAAAGAGCGAGGGAGCCCGTAACAAAGGCCACGGCAGTGAAGCCAAGGGAAGACAGGATAAAACTAGGGCTGCGAACACAGTTGGAAGGGAGGAAGTCAGACTCTACTGAGGAGTCAAGGTACGGGGCTGTTCTCCCTTCCTGGCTTGTTTTTATAAGGTCAGGGCACTGGTGTGGGGCTGCCCTGGCTCTCAGGATCAGGACCTGTAATTCAAGCATCTGCCACAGGAGGCAGTAGTGACTGAATTAATGCCCCTAATTTGGGCCAGGAGACATGAAAGATAAGAGAGACCAGCCCCAGCCAGCGCCTGGCTCACTCAGTTGGTTAGAGTATACTCCTCACAGGCCAAAGTTATGGGTTTGATCTCTGGCCAGGGCACCTACAAAAAGCAACCAATGAATGCATAAATAAGTGGAACAACAAATCAACATTTGTTTCTCTCTCCCTCACTCTCTCTTCCTTCCTATCTCTAAAACCAATCAATAAAAATTTTTTTTTAAATAAAACAAAGACCACCCCCACACAAATTTCAACCCAGTTGTCAGGGTCCCCCTGGGATCTAAAAGGTTGGGTGAGGAAGGATTTAAACTCACTTTCTTGCCAGAGCCCTCAGATCTGCCCACCACGAGGTGGGGTTCAGGGGCGGTGAGTCTGAGTGTCGCTCCACAGCTCCCCTTGGCGGCTCCCGTACTACCAGAAAGAGCAGCAATACAGCCACCACTCCCAGACCAGGTGTCACCTGGGGAAAGAGTGGCCTTCAGGACAGCACAGGCAGAGACACACTCAGCCCCTGGGGCTAGGAGAGAGGGAAGGTATGTAAAGGCAACTCAAACCCCAAGACCTCAAACACCAGGGTAAGTGCCTGCTCAAGGAAGCTGAACTGCACGTGGGGGGAGGGGCGAGCTCCACTAGGGCCATTCCCATTTCTGTAAACCTAACTGCTCCCCTTTGGTAACAGCATCCTAATTTTTTGGGGGAAACCACTCCCCACTCCCCACCCCCTTCTCTCAGTTCATATGGTTCAAATAGGGAAGGGCTTGTAACCCACTGGCCAAGCAGAGGAGTGTTAACTTCCCCGGCCTCAGCCTCGGGAGCTGATTCAATCAATGGTAGGCATGTGGCCCATGTTCACCTAATCAGATACTATCCAGGACCACTGCTCAAGGATCCAGGGTGCCAAAGTTTCTCAATGGGAAGATAAACATGTGAAGTTTTCACTTGCCTGAGAATAGCACAGAGGAACGTGGAGTTAAGAAAAGGGTGATCAAATTCCTGTGACTGTGAGAGCCCTGGATCCAGCTTTACCTGAAGTTCACCCTGGGGCTTTCCATTATGAGAGCCAAAACAGTCAGTCCCATCTGGGGGCTTACACTTTTATAATGGAATTCTGTCACCTGCCACCAAGAGTTCTGTCTAGCACCTGTGGTGGGGCAGGTAGGCTTCTTGCAGGCTTGGCAGAGTAAATACTGCCTTAAAATGGGGTGTCTGGCCCTGGCCAGTTTGGTTCAGTGGTTATAGTGTTGGCCCGAGGACCAAAGGGTCTCCAGTTCAATTCTCAGTCAGGGGTACAGACCTGGGTTGCAGGTTCGCCCCCTGGCCCCCATCAGGAGGCAACCAATCGATGTGTCTCTCTCACATCTCTCCCTTCCACTCTCTCTAAAAATCTAATGGAAAAATATCCTCCGGTGAGGACTAACAAACAAACAAATAAGGGCGTGTCCAAAGGGGAAAATCAGTGAGAAAGTTGTTGACCTTCCCCCAGGCTGTGACCAGACTCACCCTCAGAGCCCAGTGCCAGTCCCCAGCCACATCCTTCACTTTGGAGCCTGCAATGTAACCCAAACCACTAGGGGAAAGGCAGGGGAGAGAAGGGACAACTGGTCAGTCATGCCCGGTGCCAGGCCCTTCTGCTCCCCACCAGGCAGGCCCCAGGCTCACTCACCTGCCCACTGGGATGGCAAAGTAGAACACACTGAGCATCCGACTCCGCTGGTCTGCCACGAAGAGGTCAGCGATGAGGGTGGGCGCGATGGTGGAGTAACTGGCCTCCCCGACCCCCACCAGGCCCCGAGTCAGGAGGAGCAGCCAGAATTGCTGGGAAATGAGACGGGGGTGGGGGTGGCACCCCACCCTACAGCCAGCCTCCCAGCCCACCTCACCAGCCAGCTCTGGAGAGATGGCGGGGCGGTGGGAGAGGCCAGGGTTTTACAATCAGACCGACCTGAGCTTGAATCCTGGCTCCCCTACTTACTGGCTGTGACTTTGAGAAAGCAACTTAACCTCTCTGAGCCTCAGTTTCCTAATCTGAAAAAGGGGGATAATAACAACTAGTTCACATAACTATTTTAAGGATTGGCAATAAAAGGTCTATTCATTACCTTGTGCCCAATAAGTGCAAAATAAATCTTAATTTCTATTTTGCCTATCCCACCCAATAGTGAACTATGATCCTGGGCGGGGTTTCATTTGTCTACCAAAGACCCCCAAAGCTAGGGACACGGTACGATCACCCAAGGAGAGTGTGTAGTGAGTGCCTGGAGCTAAGGACAGAGTTCTGGGGCAGAGAGGAGAACAGAGGTTTTAAAGGAGCAAAGAAGCAACAGCCAGGGAGGCAGGAGGCAAACCAGAAGATCGGCGTCACAGAAGTTGGAAGAGAGTTTCCGGAATGAAGAAGTGGGTCAACAGAGCCAGAGGACTAGGAAGTAGGAGCTACATTTAGCAACCGAGAGGCCACTGTTGACTTTGGCACTGGAGTGGGGGCAGCTCAGCGGGCAGTCTCAAGGGGCATGCTAGAGGAAGTGCAGGCAAAGTGAGAGCCTCTCCCTGGCTGCTCCTTCACCCAGGTGGAGCGTGGCCAAGGGGGCCTTGCAGGAAGTCTGACCAGGAAGGGGCAGAGGGCAGAGGGCGGTCTAGGTAAGGTCTTGTCCATGGCAGAGAAAGAAACGTGAGTGTTTAGGTGTGAGTGGAAGGACTCATGGTCAGGGGGAGTGGGGATGATGAAGAGGTTCTGAAAGAAAAAGGGGGAAGGATGGAGTGGGCAGATTAACTCAGGCAAGCAGGGGGTAAGATGGCATGGACCAAGGAATATGCAAAAGTCCCCAGGCCCAGTCTGCCTTGACTCCAAAGAGTAGAAGCAAAGACTGATGGGGGAGTAAAGGGACTGGAAGCAGGAGCCATCATGGGGCCTCACCTCTCTGGGGATGAAGGACGACCCCAGTGTCACCAGAGACCAGAAGGCAATGCCCCCGCACATGAGATACTTCCGATTGTACCTGTCACCCAGGTAGCCAAACACAGGTGCCAACACCATGTAACTGGAAATGAACACTGAGGGGAAGCAGAGAGTCACAGCCCAGCCCTAGGATCCCTACCCCACCCCAGCTCAGGGAGGGCGGCGAGGGGGGATAGGAATAACTCCCAACCCTGAAACTGTCAGAGCTTCCTGCCAGGGGAAGTCCAACTCCATTTTGAATGTCTTTCAAACCTTTCATCGTAGAATGGGTGGCCCAGCTGACTCGTCACTTCCTCCCATCCAGCCAAGAACAAAATCCAAACTCCTTACCATGGCCCACAGTGCACTGTCTGCCCTAATCCCTCTCTACCCCTCCAACCTCATACGCAACCTTTCCTTTCTCTGCACCCCGATGGTCCAATGGCCAAGCTCAATACCATCTTAGGGTTTGTGGCAACTGCTACCCTCTCTATATGGAACATTCTCTCTTCTACCTTGAGCTTCACAGAGCTTAGCAAGTTTAGGCTCCAGCTCAGACACTTTCCCAACCACCACACATCCAGTCTCCCACATTTATTGTGTTCTTTTACATAACACTTATTCCTATGGAAAAGTATCTCATTATCTATCAGTTTAGGTTTTTATGGACTGTTGCCTCTCAGACACAGGAGAATGTGAGCTCCATAAACACAATGATCTTGCCTGTATTGACCATGATTGTGTTTCCATTATTTAACACATGGTCTAGCATAAAATAGGTGCTCAATAAACATGTGTTGGATGAAAAAGTGAATGGGGCTGCCGAGAAAGACTTGCTTCTTCTCTTACTCAACATGGTTTTACAGACCATGACCTATGATTCTATTCTTATTTCTCTAGACTTTGCCTTAAATACTTCCAGTTCCTTATTGGCCTGGACTAGAGCAAGGAGCAAGACCTGGATTCAAATTCCTTTTCTGCCTCTAACTTGTTGTGTGACCTTGGGCAAGTCTTAACTCTCTCCAAGCCTCAATTTCTTTATAAAAATGTAGATAATACTAACTACTTCCTCTATAAAATAAGATTAACATTTCTTCCTTGGCTGATGGAAGGATTTGAAGACAATAGGCATAAAAGGTCTTGGACAAGTTCTGTGGGTGTTATCTCCACTTCCTCCAGAGCCTGGCACATAGGTGCTCAGGAACACTTAAGAAATGAATGAAGGAGGGAGGAAAGGAAAAGAGGATTTGGCCCTGTCTTTCCTCTCACAAACCCCAAAGCTCTGAACAAGCAAAACTCACCTCTCCCCATTTCAGACACCCTCTACTGTCGTCATTTATTGGCCTACCATGTTCAGCACTGCACTACACACTTCACGGGCATTGTCTCATTTAATCCTCACATCAGCAGTATGAGGTGACCTGGGCTGTATTAGTTTCCATCTCGCCAATGAGGAAAGAGAGAGGCGCGGGCCTTGCCTACCATCACACTGAGTAGAATGTTGAGATTTAAACCCAGGCTCTCTTAACCATCACACTAAGCTGACTCCCTCTTTAAAGTAGGTATGCTAACTAACCAGAACAACTTCAGAGCAGAATCCGGGCCATCTCTCCCCCTAGCTCTGGCAACTATTCCTCCATCCGTGAGGCGCCAGGCGCGCCAGCACGTGGCCCCTACTGGGATAAGAAAAGGCAAAACAGCTGCTGTGTACCCAGCAGGGAGCTTCACTCACCGGTCTGGATGAGGCCGGAGCTACTGTCTCCGATATCGAAGAACTGCTCAATGTCCGGAAGGACGCCTGGGAAGAAGACTCAGGATGGGCTTCGGGGGCCAGCCCACCCTCGGGCCCCCGCTCCCTTCCCCTCGCCTAACTTCCTCCCAGAAGTCAGTACCAGCCACGGTGAAGCGGTCCATGTAGTTGAGGAGGTTGATGTAGCACAGCACGGCCACTATGAGAGCCGAATGGCCCGCAGACACGCCCGTGATGCGCTGCAGCTCCAGCCGGTCCGGGACCCCCGGGTTCTCGGACTTCGAGTTCCCCATGGACCCCGGTAATCCCGGGGTGCCGGGCACCGGCCCGTCGTCCGTATCATCCGCCTGGCTGAGGAAGGGCTCGTTTTCGCACCCGGACATGGTCCCAGGAGCCGCGCCCGCCCGCGCTCGGGTCCCACTGACGATCCTACCTGCGAGGAGAGGAGGCTGGAGAAAGGAGGACGGAGGGAACCCAGGCGAGGGGTGCGCGCAGGGACGGGCGGGAGACTGGAGGGAGGAGGACGGAGGGAACCCAGGCGAGGGGTGCGCGCAGGGACGGGCGGGAGACCGGAGGGAGGAGGACGGAGGGAACCCAGGCGAGGGGTGCGCGCAGGGACGGGCGGGAGACCGGAGGGAGGAGGACGGAGGGAACCCAGGCGAGGGCTGCGCGCAGGGACGGGCGGGAGACCGGAGGGAGGAGGACGGAGGGAACCCAGGCGAGGGGTGCGCGCAGGGACGGGCGGGAGACCGGAGGGAGGAGGACGGAGGGAACCCAGGCGAGGGGTGCGCGCAGGGACGGGCGGGAGACTGGAGGGAGGAGGACGGAGGGAACCCAGGCGAGGGCTGCGCGCAGGGACCGCAGGGGCTGGCGCCGAAGCAAGGAGCCCGGGCCCTGCCTTCCTCCCCGTCCCGGCAGACACCGCGCGGAGGGGACGGGACGAGTGGGATTCGGGTGATGTCCTGACAGCAGAGGGTTGAGGAGGGGTCGATCTTCCCCACCCCCCAGGTGAAGGCCACCCCTCACCCCAGGTGGAAGCCCACTACACTCGCTGCAGCTCAGCCCCAGCGGTGCACCACGGCCGCCGCCATGATGTCTAAAAGCCGGTCATGTGACGATGGGGAGGTGGCAGCCAACGCGTGCAAGCCCTTGACACATGACCCGCCGCCGCCGACTGAAGCTGCGGCCAAGGGCCGCGCATGCTCCTTCCGCTTCTCCGCAGGCCTCTGCACCACGTGACTGCCCCCTCGTCGCCGGGGTAACCCAGGAGCGGTCTCCGCCGCGGAGTCGCCAAGGCACCTGCGGCCGGGACTGCCACCCTAAAGGTAGTCAGGGGGAATTGGTGAAGTTGCTCAGCTCTCTGAATCTCTGCTTCCTTATCTGCAACACCCCCTTGGCAGACTTCTTCTCAAACGGGAAAGGGGAATGTTAAAGGTTCTGGCCCTGGCAGAGTTGCCCAGTTTGGTTAGAGGGTCCTCCCCATGTGTCACTGCGGCTTCAGCCTCGGTCAGGGCTCAAACAAGAATCAACCAATGAATGCATACATGTGGAACAACAAATCGATGTTTCTCTCAAGTCCATAAATAAAATAAAGTTTTTAAATGTTCTGGAAATAGTAAATATCACTAGACATGCCAATGAACAGTTCTTGCTCTAAGTGATTATTGCTTCTTCCTCCGTGTGTGACTTGGGCTTCATACATGCTACATGTTGAAGGAATGAATGTTGAGCAGCGGCCCCCCAGCCCTGGCCTCTCGCTCAGTTCCCTTCCTGTCGTTCCGATCCCCCAAACCAGCTGCCTGTAAACCGTCGAGCTTTTCGGTAGACACTGAAGGAAGCGCCTCCAGAACCCCAGCCACCGCGGTCTGGTGCGATTTTTCCTCACCTTCGACTGGGACCCAGCTCTTGCGCCCTCTGGTGGTCTCATTTGGGGCAAGCTGGGGCTTGAAGCCTCTGACTCCTAGCTGCAAGAGAGAGTATGGGTGTGGGTGGGGCAAAAACCCACAGAGCCCTGTCTCCAAAGGAAAGCTTGGAGTGGTTCCTTATATTACCCTTCCCCAACTTCCAAGATACAGCTAATAAATATATGCTCTAAATAAAATTAGTATAGTTCTATAAAATTAGTACAGAACTCAGTTGTTAGAAAATCAGCCCATGAGCTGAAGGGTCTCGGGTTCGATTGCCGGTCAAGGCCACGTACTTGGGCTGCAGATTCCATCCCCGACCCTGTCTGGCATGTGCAGGAGGCAACAAATCAATGTGTCTCTGTCACATCTATGTTAACCTCCCCAAAAAAAATTAATGGAAAAAATATTCTCGGGTGAGGACTAAAAAACTAATTTAAAATTTAAAAAATAAATTAGTATAGTTGTATGCAAATACTGTGTTAAGACCCTCTTGCAACCAGACTTCTACTGAAAATCTGGAGTCTCATGGGGAGAGCATAACACCTTATCAGAAACTATTTTCGCCCTGACCAGTTTGGCTCAGCGGTTAAAGCGTCGGCCTGCGGTCCGGAGAGACCCGGGTTCGGTTCCCGCTAAGGGCACGTACTTCGGTTGCAGTTTGTCCCCGGCCCTGGTTGGTCGTGCGGGTGGCAGCCACTCGATGTGTCCCTTCACGTCGATGTTTCTCTCTCTCTCTCCCTCCCACTCTATCTGTACAAAAAATGGAAAAAATATCCTCGGGTGAGGATAAAAAAAAAAAAAAAAGAAACTATTTTGAGTCATGGATACCCTTTGCTGACATTGTTCCAGGAGATACTTCGTGTTTCAGAACCTTAAGCCAGGTCTCTTCTGAGGGTTTAAGGAAAAGAGATGCAGAGGAAGTTCAGACTGTAGCCACTGAATTTCATCAACAAATCTTATTGAACATCTACTATGTTCCTGGCCTGGTGACAGGTAAAGCAGATCTACCCTCATAGATCTTATATGGAGGAAACAGATATCCATACACATGTAAAATTGCACCTGTGAAACAGAATAGCAAATCACAGATTGGAAGAAAATATTTGCAAGGCATATTTGGACTTTTATCCATCCAGATATATAAAGAACTCTTTTTTAAAAATACGATTTTATTGATTTTAGAGGGGGAGAAACATCAATGTGACAGAGACAAATTGATCAGTTGCCTCCTGCACCCACACCAACAGGGGATCAAACCCGAAACCTGGGTATGTGCTGTGACCAGGAATCAAACCAGCGAACTTTCGGTGCATGGGACCATACTCAACCAACTGAGCAACCAACTGAGCCACACTGACCAGGGCTATAAAGAATTTTTTTTTTTTAACTTATCTTTAAGTTGAATGTATTACAGATATCCCCTATTTTTGTTCCCACCTCTCTCTTGCTTTCCCCACACTACTGTCTGTGCCTATTGGTTATGTATATATACATATAAGTTCCTTGGTTTATCTCCTCCTGCCCCCCCACACCACCTTCCGTTTGAGGTTCATCAGTCTAACAACCAATTTATACTTTTTTTTTCCAATTTATACTTCTTAATCCCTTCACCTTTTTCACCTGTCTGCCCAAAACCCCTCCCATCTGGCAACCAACAAAAAGTTCTTTGTATCTATGAGTCTGTTTCTGTTTTGCGTGTTCTTTTTGTTTGTAGATTCAATTGTCGATAGATATGTATTTCTTGCCATTTTATTGTTCTTTTTTTTTTTTTTATCTTCTTCAAGAAGACCCTTCAACATTTCATATAATACTGGTTTGGTGGTGATAAACTCCTTTACCTTTTTCTTGTCTGGGAAACAAGAAAAATATGGCCATCGATTCTAAATGATAGCTACGCAGAATAGAGTAATCTTGGTTGTAGGTCCTTGCTTTTCATCACTTTGATTTTTATTTCTTTATTGATTTTAGAGAGAGAGGAAGGGAGGGAAGAGAGATAGAAACATCAGTGAGAGAGAACATCGATTGGCCACCTCCTGCATGCCCCCCATTAGGGATTTGGCCCACAACCTGGGCATGTGACCTGACAAGGAATCAAACCGGTGACCCCTTGGTGCATGGGTCAATGCTCAACCACTAAGCCACACTGACCAGGCTCATCAATTTGAATATTTCTTGCCACTCCCTTCTGGCCTGCAAAGTTTCTTTTGAGAAATCAGCTGACAGTCTTACGGGAGCTCCCTTGTGGGTAACTAACTGCTTTTCTCTTGCTGCTTTTGATTCTCTTTGGCCCTGACTGGTTTGGTTCAGTGGTAGAACGTCAGCTGTGGACCAATGAGTCACAGGTTTGATTCCAGCCAGGGCCACATACCTCGGTTGCAGTTCGTCCCCAGCCCTGGTCGAGGTCGTGCGGGAGGTAAGTGGTTGATGTGTCCCTCTCATGTCGCTGTTTCTCTCTCTCTCCCTTCCATTCTATCTGAAGATAAATAGAAAAGTACCCTCAGGGGGATTTTTTTTTATTCTGTCTTTAACCTTTTTCATTTTTGTGATGTGTCTTGGTGTGGACCTCTTTGGGTTCCTCTTGTTTGGGACTCTCTGTGCTTCCTGGGCTTGTATTAAGGAAGTCTTCTGTCATTATTTTTTCAAATAGGTTTTGAATTTCTTGCTCTCTCTCTCTTCTCCTTCTGGCTCCCCCATGATACAAAACTTGTTACACTTGAAGTTGTCCCAGAGGCTCCTTACACTATCCTCATTTTTTTGGATTATTTTTGCTGTTCTGATTGGGTGTTTTTTGCTTCCTTATATTCCAAATCGATGGTTTGCTTTTTGGCTTTACTTATTCTACTATTGATTCCTTGTAAATTATTCTTTATTTCAGTTAGTGCATCCTTCATTTCTGACTGATCCTTTTTCATGTTGTTGATGTCCTCACTAAGTTCCTTGGAGGTCTCCTTAAGTTTCTTGAAGTTTTCACTAAGCTCCTTGAGCATCCTTATAACCAGTGTTTTGAACTCTGCATCTGATTGATTGCTTATCTCCATTTTGTTTAGTTCTTTTCCTGGAGTTTTGTTTTCTTTCATTTGGGACATGTCTGTCTCCTCATGTTGGCTGCTTCCCTGTTTGTTTCTATGTATTAGGTAGAATGCTAGGTCTCCTAGGCTTTGTAGGGTGGCCTATTGTAGTAGCTATCCTGTAGGTCCAGTGGCACAGCCTCCCTTATCACTAGAGCTGGGCCCTCGATGTGCACCCCTAGTGTGGACTGTATACCCTTCTGTTGTAACTGAGTCTTGATTGCTGTTGGCACGTCCATGGGAGGGATTTACTCAGCTGATCAGCTGCAAGGACTGGCTGTGCCCACTGACCTACTGGCCTCTGACTACCTTGGAGGATCAGCTGTGCAGGGGCCCACCACACAGAGCAAGACTTACTTCAGCAGGGCTCTGGTACCCACTGAGTCCACTCACTGAGTGTGTCACTTGTGGAGGTGGTTGGGTGGTGGTACTTTGATGTGGTCTGAAGCTGTCCACAGTGTGTGCTGGCTCTGGGACAAGGTCAGCCACTCCTGTGTTCTACCTGGAGCCACCAGACACAAGCTACAAAGTGATCTGCAGCCTGGCTGGTGTGGTTCACTGGTTGAGCATCGACCCAAGCACCAGGAGGTCACTAGTTCAATTCCCAGTCAGGGCACATACCCAGGTTGTGGGCCCGATCCCCAATAAGGGGCATGCAGGAGGTGGCCAACTGATGTTCCCTTATCAATGTTTCTATCTCCCGCTCCCTTCTTCTCTCTATATCAATAAAGATTTTTTTTACAAAAAAAGTGATATGGCCCAGCCAGTATGGCTCAGTGGTTGAGCGTCAGCCCATACACCAAGAGGTCACCTGTTTGATTCCTGTTCAGGGCACATGCCCAGGTTATGGGCCAAATCCTCAGTGGGGGGCATGCAGGAGGCAGTCAATCGGTGTTCCTTCTCATTGATGTTTCTATCCCTCTTCCTCTCTCCCTAAAATCAATAAAGAAAAAAATATATAAAAAAATAAAGAGATCTGCAGATGACTGCTTCTTGTGCTGGGCTTGTGGAGGTGCCCAGGAAAAGCCAAGTTGTGAACCAAGGCTGGATGCTCCTAGTGCCAGGCCTGAGCCACTTAATGAGAGGTTTGGGGCTAGCTGAGACCAGATGCTTTTTTGAGAGAATTTAGGAAAACCTGAAGCAGGATCCAAGACAGGCCAATCCTGTGGTAAAGCCACTGGAAACAGCTTGGGTGGGCCTGAAAGTTGGGTGGGGCAGGGCCTCAGGGAATCACCAGGGCGGGGCAAACAGCATGAGCCAGGTTGCTGGAGTCCCAGATATGGAGCCCATCTGCTGACCTGAGGAAGGGCTCACCAAAGGAACAGTAGCCTCTGACAGCAAGTCTGTCCAGGAGAAAGCTGCCTCCCCAATGCTGGAGCAAGTCTAAGTCCATGCACGGGCCCTTTAAGAGGAACTTCCTGGGACTCCAGAAGCCTCACCCTCCCTCAGCCTCAATTCCTGCTGGTTTTTACAGCCAGAAGTCATGGGGACTTCTCTTCCTGGCATTAGAACCCTGAGCTGGGGGGCCTGGTGTGGGACGAGGACCACTCGCTTCTCATGGAGGACCTTCACAGCCGAGATATAAAGAACTTTTCTTAAAAATATGTTTTTATTGATTTTTGAGAGAGAGAGAGAGAGAGAGGGAGAGATAGAAACATCAATGTGAGAGAAACACTAATCATCCGCCTCCTGCACGCCCCCTACTGGGGATCGAGCCCATGACCTGGGCATGTGCCCTGATGGGGAATCGAACCAGAGACCTCTTGGTGCATAGGTCAATGCTCAACCACGAACCACACCAGCTGGGCAAGGTTTTTTTTTTTTTTTTAAATCCTCAGCCAAGGATACACTTAGAGAGAGGAAGGGGGAGGGAGAAAGAGAGACAGACAGACAGAGACAGAGAGAGAAAGAGAAGGAAACATGGATCGGTTGCATTCTGAACATGCCCCTACTGGGGATGGAATCTGCAACCCTTCAATGCATGGGCTGATGCTCCAACCAACAGAGCCACTACAGCTGGGTAAACTCCAATAAGTTTTTCTTTTTTAAGACTTTAGCCCAAACACAATACCACTAGACATTACTGAAAGTAAAACTTTGATTTTAAAGGCAAATATTTTATGCTAATTGATTTTGTCAAGTGAGGAAAGTTATCAGCTCCTCTCTGAATACAGGTGCTTTTTAAAATTTTGTTTCCTTTATTAATTTTTAGAGAGAGAGGAAGTGAGAGGGAGACACAGAAACATCGATAAGAGAAAACATCGATTGGCTACCTCCTGCATGCCCCCCACTGGGGATCGGGCCCACAACCTGGGCATGTGTCTTGACCGGGAATTGAACCAGCGACCTCTTGGTACATGAATCGACACTCAACCACTGAGCCACACCGGCCAGGCTACAGGTGCTTTTTAAAATTTGATGGCTCTTGATTTAAATTCCTTTAAATCAGATGAATAAGTATGAACAAGGTCAGATGAATAAGTATGTCTGTACAGGTCTGTTGGTTTAAATTGGATCCCAGCCTTTTGCTCTATTTGCTTTGGAAATTGTGGTTTTTGAAATAAAAACATATGTCAATGTTTTGAAAACAGTTCACTTATGACAACTGCCACAGAAAAGAAGTCAGCATATGGGTATTATAAGGACCTGATAACAGAGACATTTGACCTGGTCAGGGAGATTGAGAGCATCTCAGGAAGTGGTCCTTGAGCTCAGATGTGGGGGAGGGGCAGTTATTGACTACCCAGGGAAAGCATGTGCAAAGGCCCTGCCACAGAAAGCAGCATAGTGAACACAAGGATCTGAGAGGACAGTATGAAGAGAGGCCTGTAGGGAGCTATCAGAGGTCAGGCTCGATGGGGCCTAGGCCCTGTGAAGGATCTTCTTTATTTTAAAATCAGATTTGCATCTGAGATCACGCTGGCTGCAGCGTAGATGGACTGGAGGGCCAGAGGGGCCACAGAACCACCTGCCAGATAGCTGTGGCACTAGGCGAGGCTGCAGGCAGTGGTGGCTTGCACCAGGATTGGATGGAGGGAAAGAAGTAAACTGCTTTGAGAGTCATCTGGGGCACCCAAGTTGATTTGGGAATGGAGTGGATATGGGGTGAAAGAAGGGTCGAGAGTGAAACTTAGGTTCCTGGCTTATGCAGTGAGATGAGCGGTGGTCGGATTCTTGAGACAAGGAGCTTCTTTATTCACTGAACAAACATTGGTTAGGTAAGTCCTATGCCAGACACTGAGCATGGATCTTTTTTCTTTAATCCTCACCCAAGGATATTTTTACATTTATCTTCAGAGTGGGAGGGGAAGAGAGAGAAACATCGATGTGATAGAGACACACCAATTGGTTGCCACCCACAGGACCCCAAGCAGGGCTAGGGACGAACCGCAATCGAGGTATGTGCCCTTGACCAGAATCGAACCCAGGACTCGCTGGTCCACAGGCCGCTCTAACCACTGAACCAAGCCGGCCAGGGCCTGAGCATGGATCTTTAAGAAAAACAAGATAGCCCTGGCCAGTTTGGTTCAGTGGTTAGAGCATCGGCCTGCGGTCCGAAGAGACCCGGGTTCGGTTCCCGCTAAGGGCATGTACCTCGGTTGCAGTTTGTCCCCGGCCCTGGTTGGGTCGTGCAGGTGGCAACCACTCAATGTGTCCCTTTCACATTGATGTTTCTCTCTCTCTCTCTCCCTCCCACTCTATCTGAACAAAATATCAAAAAAAAAAAGAAAAAAGAAAAACAAGATATAGTACAATCCTGCATCGCTTAATGAAGAAGGTAGATTCTGAGAAATGGGTCAGTAGGTAATTTCATTGTGCAAACATCAGAGTGAGCACACTTACACAAACCTAGATGGTACAGCCTACTCACACTTAGGCCGTGTGGTATAGCCTACTGTCCCCAGGCTACACCTGTCCTGCACATTACTGTACTCAACAGTGTAGGCAACTAGAACACAAAGGTAAGTATTTGTGGATCTAAACCCAGAAAAGGTATAGTAAAAATAACAGTATAAAAGATTAAAAATGGTACGCCTGTGTAGGGCACTTCCCACAAATGGAGCCCGGAGGACCGGGACTGCTGAGCGAATGTGAGGGCTGAGGCCATTCCTGTAGGCTAACTACTGTAGTTTTTGTAAACACTGTAAACTTAGGCTGCATCAAATTCATTTCAACTTTTTTTTCTTCAATAATAGATTAACCTTAGCTTATTGTAAGTTTTTTACTTTATAAACTTTTTATTTATTTTTTAGTATTATTATTATTTTTTATCTTCACCCAAGGATATATTTTTCCTTTTTTTTTTTTTGCATCCTCACCCGAGGACACTTCTCCTTTTTTTGTTCAGATAGAGTGGGAGGGAGGGAGGAAGAGAGAGAGAGAGAGAGAGAGAGAGAGAGAGAGAGGGAGAGACATCGACGTGAAAGGGACACATCGAGTGGCTGCCACCCACATGACCAACCAGGACTGGGGACAAACTGCAACCGAGGTACATGCCCTTAGCGGGAACCGAACCCAGGTCTCTCTGGACTGCAGGCCGACGCTCTAACCGCTGAGCCAAACCGGCCAGGGCTAAACTTTTTATTTTTTTAATTTTTTGTAATGACTTAGCTTAAACCACATTATACTGTGGTACAAAAATACTTTTTATATTCTTATTCTATAAGCTTTTCCTTTCTTTAACTTTTTTGTTAAAAACTAAGACAAGCCCTGGTTGGTTTGGCTTAGCGGTTAGTGTTGGCCCGAGGACTGACGGGTCACGGGTTCGATTCCCAGTCAAGTGCACATATGTGGGTTCAATATCCAGCCCTGGTCAGGGTCCTGCAGGAAGCAACCCATTGATGTGTCTCTCTCACACTGATATTTCTCTCTCCCTCTCCCTCCCTTCCACTCTATCTAAAAATCGATGAAGCCCGGCCAGTGTGGCTCAGTGGTTGAGTATCATCCCATGCACCAAGAGATCGCCGGTTTGATTCTCGGTCAGGGCACATGCCCAGGTTGTGGGCCCAATCCCCAGTGGGGGGTATGCAGGAGATGGCCAATCGATGTTCTCTCTCATCGATGTTTCTATCTCTCTCTCCTCGCTTCCTCTCTCTCTAAAATCAATAAAGAAAAAAAAATTTTTTTTAAATTAAAATTAATGGAAAAATATCCTCCAATGAGGATTTAAAAAACAACACTAAGACAAACACATGCATTGGCCTAAGGCTACACAGCGTCAGGATCAGCCATACCACTGTCCTCCACCTCCACATCTTGCCCCACTGGAACGTCTTCAGGGGCAAAAACGGGCATGGAGCTGTCCCCTCCTAGAACAATGTCTTCTTCTGCAGTACCCCCTGAGGCTCTTCTTGGGTAGGTAACCCTCTTTTCAGAATGCACTGACTTTGGCATTATTGCAACTACAACCATGTCACTAAACAGTGGGAATTTTTCAGCTCCATTATAATCTTTTTTTTAAATCCTCACCCAAGGATATCTTCCTATTTATCTTCAGAGAGTGGAAAGGAGGGAAACATTGATGTGAGAGGGACACATCAACTGGTTGCCTCCTGCACAGCAATCGAGGTATGTGCCCTTGACTGGAATTGAACCCATGACCCATTGGTCCATGGGCCGATGCTCTACTGCTGAGCCAAACTGGCCAGGGCTCCATTATAATCTTATGGGACCACCATCTACAGGCGGGCCATCACTGACCACAGTGTCATTAGGCAGTGCAAAGCTGTATTTGTTTTCAAGACCTTACAGTCCGGTGGGGGAGAAAGACATAGACCAGTGGCTGTAGGAGTATGCTGAGCTAGACCCCCGTTCTAGGCTGAGATGGGACACACACAAGAGAACCTGGCCAGTCCTACTGGGGGCTTGATGGAGGGAGGAGCAGGGGTGCGGAGGTGGGAAGCATTAAAGGTGTGAGGCTTTAGGAAAAAGGGAAAATAACATCTTGCTATTCAGAGTGGTCAGCAGTGTTATACCTGGAGCTTGTAGGCAATGCCGCACCTCAGGCCCCACCTCAGAACTGCTGACCCCACATCTGCATTTTCACAGGCTTCCCTGCTGATTTGTATGTACACAAGTGCGAGAAGTGCTGGCCGCATCAAGAATTCTGAGGCGGGCCTGGCCAGTATGGCTCAGTGGCTGAGCGTCAACCCATGCACCAAGAGGTTCGAATCCCGGTCAGGGCACATGCCCAGGTTGTGGGCCAAATCCCCAGTGGGGGCATGCAGGAGGCGGCCAATCAATGTTCTCTGTCATCAATGTTTCTATCTCCCTCTCCCCCTTCCTGTCTCTCTAAAATCAATAAAGAAAAAAAAAAATTCTGAGGCAGCTGTCAGGCCCACCTGGTTTTATATCTGGCCTGGCATCTGGTGGCTGTGTGGTCTGGGGCAGGTTAATTAACCTTTTATGCTTGTTTCTCTTCTGTAAAACTGGAATATAGTAGCCTCTCCTTATCCATGGGGGGTCTTGGGTGCCTGAAACCATGGATAGTACTGAACCCTATATACATATATTTTCCTGTACATACATATCTATGAAAAAGTTTAATTTGTAAGTTAGGAATACTAAGAGATTAACAACTAATAATAAAACAGAGCAACTATAAAAATATAGTCACACACATCTCCTGATGGTATTATTTTCTCTTGTGCCTGATTTAATCTCATGTTGTTTTATACAGTGACGTGCAGTACGGTCATATCCTGGGAGCAACAGGCTGCACCACACAGCGCAGGTGTGTCAGTTAGGCCATCTCCGTGTGCTGCGGTGCACTCTGATGTGCACACCAGGAAATCACCTGGCAGCATTCTCAGAACATTTTCCTATTATTAGTGGCACATGACTATACTGCACCTAAGTTACGTGAATGGGTCTCTCTCAAAATATCCTACTATACTGTACTCACCTTTCTTCTTGTGATGACTTGAGGACACAATGTCTGCATGATGAGATAAAATAAGGTACTCAGAATGCCATGCAATTTAAAACGTATGAGTTGCTTACTTCTGAAAATTTCCATTTAATATATTCCGACTGTGGTTGACCACGGGTAACTAAGACCACAGAGGTGCCCTGGCCAGTTTGGCTCAGCGGTTAGAGTGTCGGCCTGCGGTCCGGAGAGACCTGGGTTCGGTTCCCACTAGGGGCGCGTGCCTCGGTTGCAGTTTGTCCCCGGCCCTGGTTGGTCGTGCAGGTGGCAGCCACTCGATGTGTCCTTTTCATGTCGATGTTTCTCTCTCTCCCTCCCACGCTATCTGAACAAAAAATGGAAAAATGTCCTCAAGGTGAGGATAAAAAAATGTTTTAATTAAAAAAAAAACCCGCAGAGGTGAAACTGCAGATAAAGAGGACATCTGTGATAACAAACTTACCTTAGGATCGCTCTGAGGATGAATAAGATTGAAAATGCCAAGCTTGGTATGTGGTACCGAGTAAGAGCTCACTATGGTTTTGAAGGTTTCTAAGCAGAAGAGATTTAGAAAGATCACCTGACAAGTGACCAATCTCTTTGATCAAAAGGATGAATATCTCTCTCATCATAGAAGAAATGCAAATTCTTTTACAATCCTTTCCCATGTCCTCTCCAGATTAAGTGTTGGGGAAGATAAGAGGAAACTGGAACCTTCTAGCACTTGCTAGTGGACTTAAGAGGTCCAGCCACTTTGGTCAGAAATCTGGCGACACTCCAGAGAAACTGGGCAGGTGCACATTCTGTGACAGTGATTCCACTCATGGGTATAAACCTGAAAAAATCTCACCTGTGTTCCCAAAGAGGAGCACTAACCTGTGTTCCCAAAGAGGAACACTAACCTGTGTCCCCAAAGGAGCACTAACCTGTGTCCCCAAAGAGGAGCACTAACCTGTGTTCCCAAAGAGGAGCACTAACCTGTGTTCCCAAAGAGGAACACTAACCTGTGTTCCCAAAGAGGAGCACTAACCTGTGTCCCCAAAGAGGAGCACTAACCTGTGTCCCCAAAGGAGCACTAACCTGTGTTCCCAAAGGAGCACTACAATATTTCTTGCAATAGCAACATCCGGGCACTACAACTGGGTTTGGTTACAAGGGACAGAAATCCTCAAATAGCCGTGATTTAAACAAGACAGAAGTCCCCCTTTCCCTCGAAAGCCCAGAGGTCAGTGGCACAGGGCTGGTAAAATGCTGCATGGAGGCTGAGACTCAAGTTCCTTCTCTCCTTGACCTTCCATGTGTGGCTTCCATCCAAGGTCACCTCATCAGTCAAGTTCCACTTCCAGGAAGAAGTGAAGGAGTGGCATGCATGCCCACTTATGGTGGCATCCTGGAAATTGCAGCCCTCCTCCCCTTGTGCCCCATGAGCCTGAACCAGCACTTGGCTGCACCCAGCTGCAACAAGGGCTGGGAAGTACTGTCTTCATTCTGAAGTTTCTGTGCTTTGCTAAAAACCAGGGGTTCTGTTACCCTGGAAGGAGGAAGAATGGATGTGAGGGGACAACTAATGGCCCTAGTCACAGAGACTGTAGAGTGGGGGTCCCATGAGGGCCACAAAGACAGAAATCCTCAAGGACAAACAAGCTGAATGTATTCCCATTTATTCTGCTGAGACTAAATATATCACTTTAATGTGTTCAAACTCATTAACAGACAAAAGATCTGAAAAAGTGAGAGCTATACCATATTATGTATAATTTCAATGTTATAAAGGTTTCTTTCCTACAATATAAGGCCAAAGAAATGCTACATTCCAACAAAATAATATTAAGAATGTGATACACTCTTGCCAAAATTATCCCACATATAGTGGAAAATTAATGGCTTTATTAGTACACAGCACTGAGAAAACTGGCTCATTATATAGAGAAAATAAGACTTGAACTTCATATACAAAAGTGAATTGCAAATAGTCTACAGCAATACTCAGTATATAGCAGCCAGTACAGCCTAGCATCAACCAATGAGAACAAATGTTTGGCCATGCAGACCTGGCGCCAGCCACTGCCAACACCAGCATGGACTCGCCGGACTTCAGCCCTACTTAGTCGCCTAATGTGAAAGAGAAAGCTATTAAGCTAACAAAAGAAAATGTAAAATACTTTAACTACTTTTAAATAAGAAATAAAAAAGCAATAAATGATATGACAAAATAGTTAACTCACTTATATTAAAATTAAAAATTTCTGTCGAGTGAAGGGCACTCAAGTGCCATTCTGAGAGTTATTTGCAACTGCCCAGGAATATACAAGCAACTCTTGAGGACAAAGACACAGGAGGCCCCCATGAGAAAAAGAGCAGAGAGAAATGAATAGTTTACAGAAAAGGAAATCAGAAAGGCTGACAGGTACATGAAGAAATCTCCCAAATTCCTGGGGCTGAGATGAATGTACATTAATACACTGCCACTTTACACCCATCAGCCTGGCAAAAAATAGAAAGCTGGGCAAGAAAAGTGCTAGCGAGGATGAGGCGAATGGGAAGCTTCCAGTTGGAGGGTCAGTGACCATCTAAAGAAAAATTTGGTTGAACCATAGAGAAATTAACCTGTCTGACCCATAATCCCATCCTGGGAACTTATGCCGGAGAACTTTCCACACAGGCATGGAAGGGGACACATAACAGAATGTTCATCATGGCCTTGTCTACATGCCGAGGGGGTGTAGGTACCTAGAGTTGGAGTCACGCAGGATCTACCAGCTGATGCCCACTGTGGAATGCCACAGAGCAGTTCAAAGCAGCAAAGCCGATATAAAACAAGCAACACATGTTGAGTGAGAAAAGAAGCTGCACAGATCTGGAGCACCCCATACATAAGGCTATTCCCACGCACAGCACTCTGTTTTACAAGGGTACATTCATATTCAAAGACATGGAATCAACACCCTAGAGTGGATGCTTATGGGAGAGGAAGGTGTGAAGGAGAGAAAAGCCATAAAACCAGGGCCTTGCATGGACTAGGATCTGAGATCCAAAACAAAAGGCTCCCTGTGCGCAATTATGCCCTAAATAATGTGTGTGCATCAGGACGGGGTCCTGGAGTGAGTCAGACACCCAAGGCTGAGAACCTTTGATATCCCTCAAAAGAGCCCACTGCCTGCCTATGCTGAAGCTCCTGCACGCACGAGCCTGGTCATTTATTTCCCTGCAAGCCAAGGAATCACACCCGTGTATGTGCCTCAAGCAAACCTCACTACCTCTCCCCAAACGACTCTAAGGCCACTGATGTCCTAGATGTGGCGTAAATCCCAGACCTGGAATCCCATTCTCTACCATCGTTTATTTCAGTTCCCTCTTCAAACATGAACAGTTTTATAAAACAGACATTTTGGTGAAGGAAAGGGGGATGGTGGAAGTAAGAGGGTGGAGATGTTGAGGGGTATCCCGTGGGTTACAAAACAGCACACCATGGGAATGAAGCCATAGTCCACCCAGGGCACCTAGAGGACCACACAACTAATCAGGTCACTAACAGTTCGAAAAGTCAACAGAGAAGGGTCAAATACCATGCTTTGATTTTGCTTCAGCTTAAAGATAACTCTACCTCAGCTTTAGCTAGTCTTTGTTGGGCCAAAGGAGACAACCCTTCTCCCCAAGTCCAGCTGGGCCTCCACACAGGGTGTGGGGTTTCAGCTCCAGACCTCAATAAGGTCCCCAGATTCCATGCCCAGATCATCTGGCAGCTCCTTGCCTGAAAGCTTGGTCCCATCAAAGAAGAAGGAGAGGTTGTGGCCAGAGAGTCCCATGGCCTCCTCGTAGTGGGACATGAGGGTCTTGAGAGGAGAATCCTGGAGAGACAGGAAAAAAATGATGTAAATAAAAAGAGGAGCTGGGAAGAATTTATGGGGACAGGCAGAGGACCTGGAACAGGGAGGACAAGGGACAAGTAAAGTTGGTGGCCGTGGAGGGGAAAGAGTGGACAAAGCAGCCAGTATAGTTGGTTCCTCTCTGGGGAACCAGGGCCAGAGCCCCAAGCTTAGGATGGAAGCAATGGGTCAGGCAGGTTCTCCAGTAGCAGTCCCCTCACCTATCCATGGAAGCATATATGGCAGGGACAAAGAGAGCCCAGACTCCTGAGTAAGAATGATCCGAGCTGGAGGCCATTCTCTCCCACTGAACTGATTGTGTGATCTTAGGTAAGTGTTCGAGTTTGAACTGTGTCCCCTCCAAAGAGATACTCTGTGGTCCTAAGCACTGGTAAATGTGAATGTGACCTTACTTGGAAGTAGGGCCTTCACAGATGTAATGACATTAAGATGAGTTTATACTGGATTAGGGTGGTCACCAATGCACATGACTGGTGTCCTTGTAAGAAAAGAAGTCAGAAACACACAGGGAGAATGCCATGTGACAACAGAGGCAGATTGGAGTGACGCAGCTGCCAGCCAAGGATCGACGGCCACCACCAGAAGCTGGAAGAGGCCAGGGAGGATTCTATGCAGTCTCAGAGGGAGCACGACCCTGCTGGTGCCTTAATTTCAGATTTCTAACCTCCAGAACTGTGACAGAATACATTTCTGTGGTTGTATGCCTCCTTGTTTGTGGTACTTCATTATAGCAGCCGTGAGACACTGACACAGCAAGTCACTCACCTCTCCAGACCTCAGTTTCCTCATTTGTTAAATGAGGGTAACAGTGCTTTCCCATATAAGATTGGTGTGAAATTAAATACCCTCAATGTCACTTACAAGTGTGGCTTTAATTATTATTGTGATGGATTTTAGTGGTTACTGTCCAAGGGTCCTTTCCATGTTAACTGGAAGGAAGAGATAGGAGACTAGAGCAGAGGTTCCCAGCAAGAGGGAGGGAAGTTGAATGATGGGCTTTTCCCACTGTCTAGGATGGGCAGGAACCCGAGACCAGGGAGGGCAGTGTCTCCAGCAGATCAGGACCAGGAGTCTGCCCTCAGTTAACTGACAAGAGAGGTGGCAGAGGAAAGGGTGAAGGGGCATGGAGAGCCATCTCTTCCACTTACTCGAGACAGCGAGACTTCCAGCGTCTGGTGTTTCTCCTTCCCCTGCACCCGCAGCTGGAGCAGCTGGGATGTCTCTGCGGCCTCTGGAGAACTTGCTAGCACCACACAGTCTGTGGGAGGCGGGATCAGGATGCCAGGCCTAAGCAGGGGCTGGAAGCAGGGCCCCGCTGGGACCTCTCCTCTTATCCCCTCCCTGTGGCAAAAGCCTCCTCAAGGTCCCACCTCCCTTCCTCTCACCAATGATGTCAGCCACTCCAAGTTTTAGGGTCCTGGGGGTGGCGGTAGGGGACAGCTCTGTCTCTCCAAAGAGCAAAAGGATCCTGCTTGGGGACACCCCGAGATGGGTGGCCATGTGGTCCACCACACTCTGTAGGGGCTCCGACTGGGGAGGGAGATAAGCAAAGGAGGCCTTCCTGCCTTGAAGTGCCCCATCTCACCCCCCAACACACAAGTTTATGGCCTTAGCTACTTGCTAAGCTCCTCAGCTGTGAGTTTCATCATATTTACCTGGGAAAATACAGAATAAAACTGGGTCAACAAGGGCTTCAGACAAATAACACAAAGAAATGAAGCAACCATGGATGATGAGGAAAAAGGGAGTGGTGAGGATCGCAGCGAAGTGGAGCTCACCTGCTCCATCTAACAGGCCAGCCGTGCCCTGGCTGGGTGGCTCAGTTGATTGGGCATTGTCCCATGCACCAAAAGGCTGTCAGTTTGATTCCGGGTCCGGGCCTGGTTTTCAGAATCAATCCCCATTAGGGTGCGTGTAGGAGGCAGCTGATTGATGTTCTCTCTCACTGATGTTTCTCTCTCCCTCTCCCTTCCTCCCTCTCTAAAATCAATAAAGAAAAAAATTTTTTTAAATAATAATAATAAAATAATAAAAATCAAGAAAAAATAAATAAGCAGGCCAGCTGTTCTGCAGTTCCAACTAACTGGTACCATGTGGGAATACAGCCAGTGTGCCTAGGTGTCTTCCTATTTAAGAGAAACCAGACATCTGGACCTTTGTATGAAATCACCCAATGCAAAGGCTGGCAACAAACTCCTATGTTTTACAAGCACTCTACAGCCCTGGCTCGTTTGGCTCAGCGGTTAGAGTGTTGGCCTGCGGTCCAGGGAGACCCGGGTTCGGTTCCCGCTAAGGGCCTGTACCTCGGTTGCAGTTTGTCCCTGGCCCTGGTTGGGTCGTGCGAGTGGCGACCACTCGATGTGTCCCTTTCACATCGATGTTTCTCTTCTTCCTCTCTCTCTCTCTCTCTTCCTCTCTCTCCCTCCCACTCTATCTGAGACAAAAAACAAAAAAATGTCCTCGGGTGAGGATAAAATAAATAAATAAATAAATAAAATAAAAACACTCTACAGGGCAAACAAAGAAGATGCTCTGTTGATAAGGCCATGGGCTGCCAGATTGCAACCTCTGGCTTAACTGCTTGCCAATGCATAGTTATGGCTCATTTCTGTTACCATTCTTGTTTTTGGATGGAGTCACCCCCACAAAGACAGCAGTCTTCACTAGGAAGGTGCAGGAGCGCACAATGACAGACCTCTGTGTGTCTACTGCAGTAAGAACATTAAGAGAAAAGCACAGAGTCTGAGGGAAGGAAAGGGAGGGGGACATATCCTGGGGAGGGAACTACCAAATGAAGCTTCCTAAATGGCATGAAGGCCTGAAAGAGCGCTGAGCAGATCCAAGGAGCAGGATGGGCAAAGTAAGACACAGTTCCTTCTGCCCCCAACACCACAGTCTCTCCACAGGCAGCCCCAGGACCTTTCTCCCTCGGGCCCTTCAGGCACTTACCATTGTGACGGGCAATCTGACAAGGTCAGCACGACACCGGATTTTGAGCTGGAAGAGTCGAGGACTCCTTGGGAGAACAGGCCCTTCCAAGAGGACCACCTCATCATCTTGGCTCAGGTGGTCCTGGCCCTGGCACTGCTTGGGACTCAGGCAGGAACGAAGATCCTGGAGGCGCTTGTTCACCTCCCTGGGGTGGAAAGAGGACTTGGGGTCAGTTGGGGTGGGGTGGGGAGGTGTCCATACTGACCCTCCACCCCAGCCCAAGCCTTCTGCCCCTGGCACCTTAACTTCTGGAGTGCCCGAGTATGTTTTCTGCTTTTGGTCCTTGGCAGAGGTGGGGGCAAAGGAGAGGTGTCCTGAGCCCTGCAGAGAGAAGAGAAAGGCAAGATGAAAGAAGAGGAGAAACCCCAGTCCCATTCCTTTCCTCATGGGCTATGGACCCCAGGAACAGAGGGGGAGTTGGAGAATCCAGAGGGAACACCTTTCAGTAATATTATAAGAGAGGAAAGGACAGGAAGACCTGAGTATCATTTTTATAGGGAAGAAAATGCCTCTTTTTTAAAAAATCCTCACCTGAGAATACGTTGATTGATTTTAGAGAGGAAGAAATGGAGGGAGAGAGAGGGAGAAGGGAAGAGACAGGGAGAGAGAGAAACATCCATTGGTTGCCTCCTCTACTCACCCCAACCGGGGACTGACCCTGCAACCTAGGTTATGTGACCCGACTGGGAATCGAACCCGCAACTTTTCAGTATACAGGACAATGTTCCAACCAACTGAGCCACACCAGCCAGGGTAAAAATGCCTAATTCTTTTTTTTTTTTTTTTATCCTCACCCGAGGACATTTTTTCATTTTTTTGTTCAGATAGAGTAAGAGGAAGAGAGAGAAAGAGAAAGAGAAAGAGAAACATCGATGTGAAAGGGACACATCAAGTGGTTGCTACCTGCACAACCCAACCAGGGCCAGGGACAAATTGCAACCGAGGTACATGCCCCTAGTGGGAACCAAACCCGGGTCTCTCTGGACTACAGGCCGATGCTCTAACTGCTGAGCCAAACCGGCCAGGGCGAAAATGCCTAATTGTTAAGGTAAATCACTTTGCAGGTAAATGTCTGCTAACATTGAGCACTTACCATATACCAAGTGATAACTTTTTTGTTGTTGTTCATCCTCACCTGAGGATATTTTTCCATTCATTTTTAGACAGAGTGGAAGGAAGGGAGGGAGAAACATCAATGTGAGAGAGAGACATCGATTGGTTGCCTCCCACACGACCCCAACCAGGGCTGGGAATTGAACTCGCAATCCAGGTATCTGCCCTTGACCAGAAATCGAACCCAAGACCCCTCAGTCCGCGGGCCTACACTCTAACCACTGAGCCAAACTGGCGAGGGCCCAAGTGCTAACTCTTAATCTACTCAAAAATTCTGACACAGGTACCACTAGTATCCCTATTTTACAGACGAGAGAGCAGGAGAAGATAGCTAAGAGGCAGCTCGTTGGATCTGAACCACAAGGGCGGTCTTCAGAGCCACACCGTAACCCCTGCATTACTACATCTCAGACACGAAGAAGAAACACTCCGCTCCCATGGGCCTTCCTGAAGGGTCCACTGTCATCCTCCTGTGCGGACCACCTCTTCCCCCAAGAGCTTCATTCCTCACCTGAGCCTCAAGACTCCTTCCATCCCTTTTCCTTACTCCTTCAGGAGCGAGCCAAGGCTCCTGCCTGCCTCAGCCTACCCCTCCAATTCTTTTCTGCTCCTAGGGCTTCAGTGCCCGGTCTCACTCACAGAGACACCGTCTTTTTCTCTTTTTCTTCTTCAGCCTTACTCCTCAGGTTCTTCTTCCAGGGAGAATCTGGAACTGGGAGATCCTCAGCATGGGGACTGCTAGAATCTGCCATATCCCCCTCTGGGGACAGAGGAGAAAGTGTAAAGAGTTAACCAAGAGAGGGCAAAAGGAGGCCAAGGAGAGGAGACCCAAGTCACAGGCTTCAGAAGGTCCTCAGAAGGGAGGAGACTGTGGGGGACCCAGGCACCAGGACCACATCACAATACTGGGGAAGTGCTCAAGGGGCGCGAGTCAAAAGGAAACGCCTAACTCAGAAAAGCATGAGCTGGAGTCTGAAAGATTAAAGCAGGACTGTGTCCAAGCCTCGTACATGAAATATGAGGCATAAGACAGTTTGACAAGTGGGGACAATTGAGAAGTGGTCCACTCCAACTAACACAGTGTCCTCACCAACCCCAAAAATATATACTTAGCACTACTATTATACTACTTAGTAATAAGATTATAATACTATTAGTCCATTGGACACAACCAATAATTTGATAAAGGCCAAGGAAGGGGTAGGCAGGGGAGGGTGGAGGTGGGCAAAGGGAGAAGAAAGGGACTCCTGCAATAATGTCAATATTTAAATTTTTTTAATTAAAATAATAATAGTCTGATTGGTGTGGCTCAGTGGATTGAGCATCGTCCCATGGACTAAGACGTCCAGGTTCGACCCCCAGTCAGGGCACATGCCTGGATTAAGGGCTTGATCCCTGGTAGGGGGTGTGCAGGAAGTAGCCAGTCGATGTATCTCTCTCACATCAATATTTCTATCTCTCTCTCCTTTCTACGCTCTCTAAAAAATCAATAAAAACATTTTTTAAAAAATAAATCATAATACTATTAGTATTATGTACTACTGCACATGTATGTGATATCATGTATATTATAAAATGTACATTAAAACAGATGTCAAAGTATGACTTTTTTGGTTGTTAATCCTCACCCAAGAATATTTTTCCATTGATTTTTTAGAGAGTGGAAGGGAAGGAGGGTGACAGAGAAACATCAACGTGTGAGAAACACATCGATTAGTTGCCTCCCGCGTGACCCTGACCAGGGCTAGGGATGGAACTTGCAACCCAAGTACATGCCCTTGACCAGGAATCAAACCCGAGACCCTTGGGTCTGCAGACCGAAGCTCTAACTGCTGAGCCAAACCAGCCAGGGCAAAGTATAATTTATTATTTTTTTTAATCCTCACCCGAGGACATTTTTGCATCTATCTTCAGATAGAGCGGGAGGGAGAGAGGAAGAGAGAGAAACATTGATGTGAGAGAGACACATCGAGTGGTTGCCGCTCATATGACCCCAACCTGGGCCGGGGTCAAACCACAACCGAGGTATGTGCCCCTAGCAGGAACCGAACCCAGGACTCTCCGGTCCATGGGCCGATGCTCTAACCACTGAGCCAAACCAGCCAGGGCATGGTTTGTTTTTTTAAAATATTTTTTCTTTACTGATTTTTAGAAAGAGAGGAAGAGAGAGGGAGAGAAAGACAGAAACATTGATGAGAGAGAACATCAATTGGCTGCCTCCTTTATGCCCCCCACTGGGGATCGGGCCGACAACCTGGGCATGTACCGCCTGGGAATCAAACCAGCGACCTCTTGATGTACGAGTCAACGCTCAACCAGTGAGTCACACCAGCCAGGCTAAAGTATGATATTTAAAAAGTGTTTTCATTTTATTCCTGCACTCAATTTGGTAGGCACAAAGACTATGTGAGTTGGGCATGGGACAAGGAGGGAATGAGGTAAAAAAACAAACAAACCCGTTTCTCAAATTTCATCCATGTGAGTGTCATTATCACATTTTGTCACATTTCTGCATTATTTGTTTAGTATCTTTATTCAAATCATTTAACTCCTTATAAAAGGAAACTAGGTATTTATTCCTTTTTTATTGAGGTATAACTGATATATAACATTATATTAATTTTATTTATATAATATAATGACTCAATGTTTGTATACATTGTGAAATATCAGTAACCAGGTATTACTCTAGAATATAAAAGCTCTTTTCTATTTGTGTGCCACCAATAAAAGACCATCATTAACCATAAAAATAAATACCATGAAACAAAACAATGATAATAAATCCTAGATCAGTGGTTCTCAGGCAACTGTGCCTCTCATGGGACATGTGGCAATACCTGGAGAATATTCTGGTTGTCTCAATGAAAGGGGTTGGAGTTGGGCTGAGACACTGGTATCTCGTGGGTAAGAGGTCAGGATGCTGCTAAACATGCTACAGTGCACAGAATTATCCAGTCCAAATGTCAGTAGTGCTGAGGGTAAGAAATCTTGTCCTAGCTAAACATGGCAGCTACCAGTGGCCTGAGATCCTGCATTTGTGACAAGCTCCCAGGGGGTGGCCAACATTACTGGGCCCACATTTTGAGTATGGGGCGGATGCACTTCCCACTGCACCCACGGGGCTCGAGCTAGGCCTACATTTTGAGTAGCAAGGAAAGAGGCACATTTTATATAGCACTTCACATGCCAGGAAGTCCCAAACTACATAGGGAGCCCGAGAGGGCTCTCTCTATATTCTCTCCAATTGATTCGCACTAAAATCCTTTGATATAGGTCCACTGTTATCCCCATTTTCCTGATGAGGAAATTACAGCACTGAGAGATTAACTTGCCCATCGTCACACAGTTAATAAGGAGTAGAGCTGGGATTCAAACCGAGACCAGCTAGTTCTCATCACCCTACCACACTCCCTCATGGTACAGAAGTCTTTTTTTAAAATATTTTTTCTTTATTGATTTTAGAGAAAGAGAGGAAGGGAGTGGGAAAGACAGATAGAAACATCGATGAGAGAGAACATCAACTGGTCGCCTCCTGCATGCCCCCACTGGGGATCGGGCCCACAACCTGGGCATGTGTCCTGACCAGGAATCGAACCAGTGACCTCTTGGTGCGTGGGTTGACACTCAACCACTGAGCCACACCGGCCGGGCAGAATAGAAGTCTTGATCCAAGGTCTGAATTTGCCCACTGAATCACTTCCTTATTAAACTTAATTCCTAGTCACTGCCTTTGGATGGGTTACAAAAAACACATCACTGGGGGAAGACAAAGGCTGGGCAGCCCTGCTAAGACTCAAAGAACACCCTGCTGGCTCCACAATGTTCCCAAAGAACTTGTTGCAGATATAACAAGGTTACAGATTCTCAACACCTCCCCTTCCCTTGTCCCCAGGATTACACAATCAGAATCTCCAGGGATAGTGCCCAGAGTCTGTTATTAGCACACTTTTATAACTATTAGAGTTGGAAGAGGGTGGTTTGACAGCACCTCTGGTGCCCTCTGATTAACAGTTCAGCTCCTTTCAGGACTGGAGCATTTTTCTGGCTAGGATGCAGGAGTCACCTCTCCTAGGCCTTCCCTGGGGAGCCTCAGGCAACAGCTAACCACAGGGATGTAAACTCCCCAAAGTCTCCGCAGGGAGGCCAGCGCTGGGCATCTTTTCCCGCAAGCCCTCCCTTACCTTCCTCAGTCCCCGGTGGACAGAGCTTCAGGAGGGGCAGGTTATCTGGGATGAGGCGGAGGCTGTTCTTCACCTGCAAAGACAAAAGTGGATCAACCCCAAGTCCTCCCTCTGAGAGGGAAAAGGGGATAATTCTTCCCTCACACCCAGGCCTCGTCCAGCTCCCAAGTTCGCCCTAAGTATACTGACATCCCAGCCTTCTCCCAGGATCCAGAACCGGAGTGCCCTTACACCGCCTCTCCCAAAGGCAGCCTGAGGATACAGGATCAGTTCTCCTCTTCTACCAGGCTGCTAGCCATCCCGCTATCTCAGAATCCCAGGACCGTCTCCTGGAGTCCCAGTCCTCTGAACTTCCATGAACCCCGGGCCCCAACACCCCAGCTTCCTGGATCCTTAGCAATGGGCTCCAACCTCAACACGGAACACACCCCAAGTCCCAGTTCCAGACCCTCCCTGAACCCTCAGGGATGCCAGCCCTACAGCCTCTCTACGTCCGCGACCGGAACCCCAAACTCCCAACACACTTCAAACCCCTTCTTCTGCCCAGTCTGCAGAAACCCCAGGAACCCTGCATCTCTCTGCCTCCGTAGGCCCTGGCCCCTGCTCGGGTTAGTCCCCCAAGAACAAGCCCCAGACCCGACCCTCAGTACCCCTGAAACCCAGCCCTCCGCGCCAGCCGCCCCGGGAGCCTGGCGACACCTTCCCGGAGTACACCGGAACCACCGGCGCCTCCCCCGGATCCAGCAGTAGCCGCCGCCGCCGCCTGACCAGGGCCGGAGGGGCTCCAGCCGGCCGTGCGTGCGCCCCTTCGCTGTCGCTGTCGCTGCCGCTATCGCTGTCGTCCCGGGGCGCGGCCGGCACCGGGGACTCTGGAAGCGGGATTTCGACCGAGTCCGAGGCGCCGCGCGCCGTTGAAACCTCCAGGGTTTCCTCATCGCTGTCGCTGACCAAGTCCACAAGGACCGAATCCACGGGGCGCCGGGATGGAGACCGCTGGGCGCCAGGGCGCCGGCCCCGGCCGCCCCGAGTTCCTCGGCCGACACCGCCGCCTCGGGACCGTCGGCCCCGTTTCCTCACCGGCTCCGCCATGCCACTCACCACCGCCAAAGTCGCCCGCCTCTAGCTTGTTCACCCGGCCCCCTCCCAAGACTTCGGCCCTTCATTGGCGGAACCGCCTGCTAGTCACCACTCCTCCCCGCCCACACTCTCTGGATCCGCCTCCCTGCCCTTTCACTGATCACTTCGCCTGTCCATCACACATCCGCCACTAAAACCAAGGCGCCAAAGATTCCAATGAGCCTTGAGGCAATTAGCGTGGACTTCAATTCGTCCAGGGTCACCCATTGGCTGGGCTGCCTCTCTTGCAGACCAGCCTTCTTTCAGCCCCACACTTTGAAGAATTTCGGTTTCCTGTTTGGTGAAGGAGCCAGGCATTCTGGGAATTGTAGTCCTCAAGCCCTATGGGAGTGGAAGGAAGAAGGTGGACTGAAAATTGCTTTTAGCAACCATGAAATTAGCTCTGGCCCACGTGGCTCAGTTGGTTGGGCGTTGTCTCCTCTGCTAAAATGTTGCTGGTTTGATTCCAGGTTGCACTGCAGGCTTGATCCCCGGTAGAGGGCGTGCAGGAGGCAACCCATCATGTTTCTCCCTCTCTCTAAAAATCAATACAAATACTATTTTTTAAATTGTGAAATTAGGGCAGAGGAGCATTTTAAATATATTTTTTAAGTTTTTATTTATTGATTTTAGAGAGTGAGAGGAAGAAAGAGAGCAATATATTTGTTGTTCCACTTATTTATGCATTCATTGGTTGATTCTTGTATATACCCTGACCAGGGATAGAATCTGCAATCCTGGCTTATCAGGACAAAGCTCTAACCAACTGAGCGACCCAGCCAGGGCCTAGTGGAGCATTTGAGATCTTGCTGCCCAAGCATATGTGGTCAATTTGGTTCAAATAAACTCATAACAATTCTCTACAGTCTGGGGGGGAAAAGTGAAATCTCAGAATTAGACCTGACTTCACAATATCCCCCATTAGTGTTTCCCCCAACCACGTTCTGAGTTAATTCCACACAATGTCACCCACTCTCACACACGCCCCCTCCACATGTGCAAAATCCACACAATAAACACCCTGGACCAACACTTTAACACTATTCAACTTTCCAAATTACCTCCAATCATACAAACCCTATCTCACACCAGACTTCTTGACAGACACATTTCACACACAATGTCAACACAGCACACACCTGTTCTCACAGTAACTAGCTAGTTAATATTAATAAAGAGAACCCTCGCCCTGGCCAGTGATTTCAGTGGTTAGAACATTGGCCCACACACTGAAGGGTCTCCAACAGGGTGTGAACAAGAGGCAACCAATTGATGTCTCTCTCTCACATCAACGTTTCTTCCTCTCTCTTTCCTCCTCCCTTTCTCTCTCCCTTCCTTCCACTCTTTCTAAAAATCAATGAAAAAAATATATATCAGGTGAGGATTGGGAAAAAAAACTGGAAATGTTGAAGGGTCTTCTTGAAGGAGAAGAAGAACAAAAATATGAACAATGATATGGCAGTTAATACATATCTATCAACAACTGAATCCACAAACAAAATGAGCAAGCAGAACAGAAACAAACTCATAGATACAGAGAACTCTTTGTTGCTTGCCAGATGGGTGAGGGCTGGGAGGGTGGGTGAAAAAGATGAAGGGATTAAGAAGTACAAATTGGTTGTTAGACTGATGAACCTCAAAGGGAAAGGGGCAGGGTGGGTGGGATGAGATAAACCAAATAATTTCTATGCATATATGCACAACCAATAGACACCGACAATAGTGTAGGGAAGGCAGGAGGGGGCAGAAATGGGGAGGAGGAGGAGGAGATCAATGGGGAAAAAAGACATCTGTAATACATTCAACAATAAAGATGAGTTTTTAAAAAAATTTAAAAAGAAAAAAAAGCTGGGCTGGTGTAGCTCAGTGGATTGAGCGTTGTCCTATGGACTGAGAGACCCCGGTTCTATTCCCAGTCAGGGCACATGCCTGGATTGCAGGCTCAATCCCCATTAAGGGGCGTGCAGGAAGCCGAGGATCAGTGTTTCTCTCTGACGTTGATATTTCTATCTATCTCTCCCCTCCTCTCTCTCTCTAAAAAACCAATACAAACATCTTTTTTAAAAGAAAGAGCCCTGGCCAGTTTGGCTCAGTTGGTTGGAGCATCGTCCTGTATACCAAAAGGTGGTAGTTTCAATTCCCAGTCAGGATACATACCCAGGTTTCAGGTTCAATTCCTGGTCAAGGTACATGTGGGAGGCAACCGTTTCTCACATCAACAAGAAAAAAAAATCAATAAAATAAAATAATAATGATAGTAATAAAATAAAGGAAGAAGGCAAAGGGGAGGCCAAACATTTTAAGCATGGCCATCTGGGCAGCTTCACCAGGAAACTACAGCTTCAAGCTCCCTTGGGAACCACCAGTTCATTCCCTGCAGATCACTAGGGGGAGGGATCAAACAAAGGGCAAGATGGGCACATTTGAAGGTGTTTGTCTGTCAGACTAGATTGGGGAACAATGGCTTGGCTAGGATGGTGGATCCCATGAAAAGGTTAAAATTCCCAGACATTCCCTCCACAGTGTGGCTCAGTTGGTTAAGCATCTTCTCGTGCATGGAAAGGTCACAGGTTCAATTCCCAGTCGGGGCACATGCCCAGGTTTCAGGCTCAATCCTGGTATGGGTGGGTGTGAGAGGCAACCGATTGATGTTTCTCTCTCACAGCGATGGTTCTCTCTTTCTCTCTCTCTCTCCCCCTCCCTCCCTGTCTGTCTCAAATCTATACAAACATATTTTAAAATTAAATAAAATAAAATCCTCAAAGAGTTTCTTCTCTCTTACTCTTTATTATTATTATTATTATTGATTTTAGACAGAGAGGAAGGAGAAGGAGAGATAGATAGAAACATCAATGAGAGAGAACATCGATTGGTCGCCTCCTGCATGCCTCCCACTGGGGACTTGGCCCACAACCATGTGCCCTGACCAGGAATCAAACCAGGGACCTCTTGGTGCATGGGTCAATGCTCAACCACTGAGCCACACCTGCCGGGCTGCCTCTCTTACTCTTGTTCGGGCTTTCTCTCTTGCTCCGTGACCCATACTCAGCCATTGGCTTGCTTGTTCTCTCTCCATAGCCATGTGGCCTTAAGCAGCCACATGGTCCATGGCCATACAGACTCCACACACAATGGATTGCATCTAAGAACACAAGCTAAGCTAGTCAGATATTGGACTGGACTGGACTGGATTTTTTTTTTATCCTTACCTGAGGACATTTTTGCATGTATCCTCAGACAGACAGGGAGGGAGAGAGGTGGGAAGAGAGAGAGAGAAACATCGAAGTGAGAGATACACATAGAGTAGTCACCACCCACACGACCCCAACCGGGGCCCGGGACAAACTGCAACTGAGGTACGCGCCCTTAGCGGGAACCGAACCCGGGTCTCTCAGGACCGCAGGCCGACGCTCTAACCGCTGAGCCAAACCGGCCAGGGCGGAATTCCCTTAATTTTACATCATCAATAAAGCTTTCGACAAAACTCAGTCCTCCTGTGGGGGCCTCAAAAAATTCTTTTCCTTGTGGAAACCCCAAGAACTCCACTTCTACCAAGAACACATCCACGAAGTATCCTCCCACAACAATACAAGTGAAAAATAAAAGCCTTAATTCTCCCTGTTGAAATAAGGGATGTAACTCCTCCCCACCTTCTTTTCTTTCAGAACTTTTCAAATGTATATAAATCTTTATAATGACTAAATAAGCTTCTTGCCAGTCTCATAACTCAGGACCTCCAGGACCAGGGGCCATCTTCTTATAACACAAACATCAAGGAAGATGGCTTTCTATCCCTCCATTTCTGGGGAGAATAACTGCCTAACTTGGGGCAGGGCCTTGCTGCAATATACAAAACTACCTCCTGCCCTGGGCGGTTTGACTCAGCGATTAGAGCATCAGCCCTCGGACTGAAGGGTCTCAGGTCTGGTTCCCAGTCAAGGGCACATACCTGGATTGCAGGTTTGATCCCCAGCCCTTGTCTGGTTCATTTGGGAGAAAACCAATTGATGTGTCTCTCTCACATCGATGTTTCTCTCTCTCTCTCTCTCTCTCTCTCTCTCTCCCTCCCTCCCTCCCTCCCTCCTTCTTTCCCTTCCACTCTATCTAAAAATCAATAAAGAGGGGTGGGAGTGGGAAAGAGGGGGGTCAATGGGGAAAAGGGGGGACATCTGTAATTCTTTCAACAATAAAAAAATAAAATAAAACCTACTCTAGAGAGAAGAAGAGGTAAAAAAAAATAATAATAATAAACAAACAAATAAATAAAAATCAATGGAAAAATATCCTCAGGTGAGGATTAACCAAAACAAAAAACAAAAAAGAAACAGCCCTGGCCAGTTTGGCTCAGCGGTTAGAGCGTTGGCCCGTGGACCAGTGAGTCTCAGGTTTGATTCCAGTAAAGGGCACGTACCTCAGTTGTGGTTCATCCCTGGCCCGGTTGGGATCGTGCGGGAGGCAACCAGTTGATGTGTATCTCTCACATTGATGTTTCTCTCTCTCTCTCTCTCTCTCTCTCTCTCTCTCTCTCTCTCCCTCTCCCTCCCCTCTCTCTAAAGATAAATGGAAAATATCTTCAGGTGACGATTAAAACAAAAACATAAGCCCTGGCCGGTTTGGCTCAGCGATTAGAGCATCGGCCTGCAGTCCGGAGAGACCCGGGTTCGGTTCCCGCTAAGGGCACATATCTCAGTTGCAGTTTGTCCCCGGCCCTGGTTGGTCGTGTGGGTGGCAGCCACTCAATGTGTTCCTTTCATGTCAATGTTTCTCTCTCTCTCTTCCACTCTCTCGCTCCCACTCTATCTGAACAAAAAATGGAAAAATGTCCTCGGGTGAGGATAAAAAAACCCAAAAACATAAAACAAAAAAAACAACAAACAAAAGACTACCTCCCCACACAAGAAGTTTGTTTCTCCACTCCCCCCACATCCCCCCATAAAGGCCAATTACCATTATAAAGTTAGGATGAACTATAT